GTCCAGGGGGGATTACATACTTTTTTCTTTCTAGGGGGAGGAGTAGGCTCAGCACTCGTCGGGGCCTGAAAAACTCCGGATATCAATAGGTTTCACTGGTCTCAGGGGCTATAGGGCATATGCCTTATAGCCCCTGAGGAACCTACATCAATTTGTCTTCCTGGCAAACATTTTACAGTAGAAAATCATCTTTGTCATCAATTACACACACATCTTTAATCTCAAGGATTTAACACTTAATCATATTATTAAATTAAAAATAAAGTAATGTAGGTTAGGTATAAAAGGTGGTAAATCAAAATGTTGTGAGACATCTATGTGTAAAGTATTGAACTGTTACTAAACATTTGGGTTCATCTGTCATTGGATGATTTGATAGATCTCTGAATTAGCAACCAATTACAGATAAAGGATTATTAGATGGGAAGGAGGAAAGCTTGACTCATTTCATGGTAAAAGAAAGATAGATTCATAAATATATAGATAGATAGATAAATAGATAGAAAGATAGATGCATAGATAGATAATCAAGCAGAGTTTTATTCCAACTAATGTATATTTTGAGTCAGATGATACAGGTTAAAATAATGAATGTAATTAGGCTAAATCTTAATACAAGTTTTACGTAGTTAATTAATAATGAGCGTGGTTAGTTTACAGATAATGTAGAACAAGGATATATACAATTATGTTCAGGTTTACAGATATAGGGTTTACTATGATATTTACAACACCTCTATATTATTTAACAGGTAGATCTGTTTTAATACAGTGAGAACCAGAAAACTTTGGAATATGAAGACAATATTGCAAGAATGCTTAAGTGCATTTGATGTTGTTAGACAGCAAATATTTAGTTTTACCTATAGTAACTTAACAAATCATTTATTGAGTGAACTGGGCCTGTTTACACTAAAAAAGCTGTGTCTCATGTTCATTGGACTATTTAAAATCATAACTTGAGTCTAAAAGTGATATTCTTATTCCAAAGTTTTCTGGTTATCACTGTTCTTAGTAGTCAAAACTTTAATATACATTTTATCATAATGAGAATAATTTGTTCCAATATTTTGATGGTTGAAGTTGTAGAATTGATGATTTTAGCTAGTCAGGTAATTCATGAAAAATTCTCTAATAGGTTGAAACATTAAAGAGCATCTCTTGACTTTAATAACTTTGCTTTTTACAGGTCTTTTGCAGATCTCATCTTGTATGGAAGATAAAAGCTTACCAAATTGTGTTTCTCTGCATGTAGAATAGTTGTACATTGTTTGTGAAACAAAATATCTACGCAAATCTTGTATTGCGATTAACCTAATCTAGCTATAACTATGACAAACCTGTATTGTGATTGGCTTAACTACGCTAATATATATATATATATATATCTCTGCGCAAATCTTGTAAATATGTATACATTAATTTAACCTGTAACATAGATATCTAGATACACATTAGTTGGATTAGACTCCACTTTGATTACAGTGAGAGAAGTAATCGTTCCTCTTTTAGCAAAAAAGTTTATGAGATCGTGGCTGTGTTTGACATTCATAGTTTATAAGATCGTGTCCATGCTGTTGATAGTGAAGTAGTTGTTTAACTGATTAGCTCTTATGCCTCGTAGACCAACGAGAGGGATTGATTTATACCTGGATTGATAGGGGCCGGAGAGACTTTTCTGGAGTACGGCATTTACTACATTAACTCCTAGCTGAATGGGTATTATATGCAACAAGTGGCAGTTGGATTGCAGTCAAAAAAAAACCTTTTGTCAGAATTAGCATGTCGTGCTGGTACGACCATATGCCTACTTAGCCCAGCCCGTGAAAGCTAATTAACACTTTGTATAATATATAGTGTATCTAGTCTGAACATTAGGTAATTACATTATTAGAAGTTTTGTGTTTTTCATTTTCAAAAATGTCTTTTACTATCAGTAGTTTAAATCACTAACATAACATTATAATAAAATGTTGATTTTTTATAAAATGCTTGAAGGAGAGATAAAGTATAGTAAATGCAGGGTAATTGGACTGTATGTGTACCTTTAAAGTATCTTTTACTTATGCCTGATATCCAAGAAGCCAAATGTTTTGAATTTACAGTTCAAATTTTGCAAATTTTTTATAATTATTTATAATTCTACTTTACAGGGATATTAAGGGAATTTTACTTTACCAAGGGGTTTCAAGACCAAATTTGCTTACAAAACATTCAGAGTATTTTGTCGGCAAGATCGGTCGAGGGAACCTGGTTGTCAACTCAAATTTGTAATTTCCCGAATAAGAAGTTGACAATTTTATCGTTTTTTGAGATGAAATTGATCATTTTTAAATGAAAAACGGGTCGTTATTTTATTTAATTGTCCCTAGGGACGTAAAGTAACTCAACGTTTCACTGTTGGGGGAATCATGGTGAGGGATGTTAGCGTTTTTATTTTTTTTTTTGAAAAATGATTGGTTCGTTATGAAAACGGCGACGAAAAATCGAAAACGAAACGATCGTGTTTCAAAAAACTACCGTTATTATAAAGTTCGTCGTTTCGTTAACGATCATTAACGACGGTCCTTCGTTAACGATCGTTAACATAATTGTCAATGAAATATATTTTTTTAAACGATCGCTTTTTCAAATGCGATCGTTTTTAAAAAGAATCGTACAAAAAACGGTCACAAATCCTTTTTAAAAACGATCGTTTTCTAAAAGTACAAAACGTTGGCTCGTTTTTAAAAACGATCGTTTTTTCCGAAAACAGAACAATTGAAAAACGAAACGAAAAACGACTAACAACCCTACATGGGTCGGTAATGTTGATAAAAAGACTGTAAAATTCATAACAGATTTGTTTTACTGGGGGTTTACTTAAGCCTAAAGAAGCATTAGCTATACTCGGTTTTTGTTAGAAGTAGAACCTATAATGCTATGATAGGAAACCTTAAGATATTTAATCCTCAAATCAGATGTAATGTAGTTTTATGATTTCTTTATCAAAAGGTTTTCATGAAAAGAATTGATCTAAAGATAAATTATGAGAATGAAAAGATGAAAATAATATTTTGAATAAAATATTTAGAATTGTCATTTTTAACCATACTTAATTATTTTAATAATCTAGAGAGCTTCATTGAAAACCCTTTTACAGCTTTTAATAAGAATGTTTGGGGGGGGGGGAAGATATTTTTTAATTACAGNTAGTCCACTCTTTTTTAGTCCCCCTTTTCACTTTTTAAGAGGGGGAGGGGGGTTACCCATAGCCCTTCCCCCTTTGTACAATGCATCAATAATTACATGCCTGCAGCTTACTGGAAGATGTGTTTTTAAAACTATTTATGTTTTCATTATTTCCACATAGATCTTGGCAGCCTCTACATTTGTTGCATAAACCGTGCAAGGTCAACTTTACTCTGTGTAGTGCATGTGGACTGGACGGTATGAGTGAGGGCATATATTGTCAAAGAGAATAGAATATATATTAGAGTGGAATTTACTAGTAAAAAGTGTAAAACAGGCATTTTGTTGTACTGTTTCCATACTGCAGGTGTACTTCACATATTTGTGCTATGTAACCTTTTCGGCCCTGGAACATCATCTTACAGAAAATCTAAAATTAATATTATAAGAAAATCAAATTATGAAATAGGCTGGTTACATAATTGACCAATGAACATTTCACATAGACTCTATACCTTTCACTTTACAAACGATTATTTCCGTTATAACTATAAATCGAATGATGTTTTTTATTTACCTACAGAGCGTCCCATATCACATTAGATTATCTCTAATCTTTAACGACAAAATAAACCCTTAATACTCGAAAAAATTATCATTTTCCGCAAGAAAATTCTTTTACAAGCCTTATGTTTTTTTCAAATTGATTCATTCTAATTAAATTTTCTTTTTAGTCCCGAAAATCGCACTTTAGACACGTTGACGGTCTAATATGATGTGGGACACCCTGAAATTCATTAAAAAGTTTATTTAACAGCTTTAAAAAATTCGAAATTGAAATGGATAGTCTAGTGAACATACTGTATTAATGTACTCTACTGCATATAATTTGTGAACATTTACATGATTTGTACACTTTGAACTCCCTTTCAGGCTGAAAGGGACTGACAAAATTCATACCAAGGGATTGTTTAAATTCCACTCTAATATATATTCTATCTCTTTGTATATAATAACACTAAATCAGTAAACCCTTGTCCTTGTTCTAAACATTTGGAGCCAGGTGTTGCAGACATTTAATTTCTTTCATCCATCAGAATAACAATGAGCAATGATGCATGCACATCGTTTTATGTTTCCTTTTAAAAGGCTTCCCTAAGATCTGAGATGTGCAAGGTACAAATGCAAGGAAAGTTATTTCAGAGGTGTACACATTTTTTGTACTGCAGTGTATTGTCTTTGGGCGGAAAAGTAAAGACAAGACAGATGTGACAGCCTGACATCGAATCCATTTTCACAAATATAATCTATGAAATATTCTGGTCAAAGCAAGCTAATCTGAATTTTTTCAAAATTATCAATTAAATGCTTTTATCCTCCGCGCGGATACTAGAGGAACACTGATGCATCTATTCTTGTTTACAAATTCCGCCCAGAGAGATCTGGTTTCAATATGTACCTTGTACGCAGAGTATACACAACCGCAATCAACTTTTTTTGCATTAGTACCTTGGAGATGTGTATCTATTTCAAAATTGTATGCCCAATATGTCAGAGAAAAAATTGCTTATTGTGAAAATAAGAAAAACGGATAGTAAATCGTGACTTTGTTATGTGATAAACATTTCAGATTCTCTTAGGATTCTTTATACACCAACAACTCTGAAAACTTGAGAAGGGCCTGAAAATGATGCCAATCCCTTTAACATGACAAGAAGAAATTATAAGCCTATGCTCAGAAAGGGTTAGATTGGGTCAAAGGCCTTCAGTCTTCCTGGATAGCCTGCCAATCACAAAATTAAGATTCAAAATCTAAAATTAAACACTACTAAGCAGAAATACGCATTTATTTATGTCAAAATTGATCAAATAACTACAAAGTTTTATCTTTGAATCAATTAATTATTCTACCAGCCCTTACAGGGTGCCCATGTATCAGTGACTTTCTCTTCTCTATGCACATGATAGATATTATAACACGCGGCAGTTGCGCATGAGTGGTATGGAATCAGCTGAAGTGTACTCCCAACAGGAAACTAGAAAAAAATTTAATTTAGATAAATTTTTTGGACTACGCAGTCTGTTTTCATTTGAAACTAAAATCTTCTTTTATGTTTAAAAGTTTCTGCGTTATTGGAACTTTGGGTATTTTGGGTTTAATTTAAAATAAAAGAAACTAAAATGTAACTTTATTAAAATATAATATTTTCAGGAACTTCTTAAATCTTTTGGATATGGACTAGTTCATACTAATCTATTAAAACCTAGAATTTGTTTACTTTTCTTTAAAGTTTTGTAAAAGATAAAATTTCAGCCATGATAGATGTATACTTTATGTAGAGTTTAAATGAGGAAAGTTGAAATTATGCCAGGGGCTCATCCAATAAACAAAAAGCATAACAACAAAAGAATAAATTAAATTTGATCTTAGATCTCTAGAAGTGGGCACTTTTAGTCTTATTTCAAATTGTTCATTAATGGTTAGTTAAAATAACATAACATTGCTGGAAACTTTGGAATGGGATACCTTTAATCCCGACTGCTTAATCTGGAAATCCAATGTGAACACTTTTAATTTCTTGCTTAGTCCACTCTTTTTTAATATAGTACAGAAAAATCAAAAACCGGTTTTTCAAAATTAGAGAGTCCTTCCTGTTTTTGTATCTTAAATGGCACGCAAAATTTCAAATTGCCCGGCTTCTATGCAACTCTGATTGGTTGAAATTTACACACTTTTCAGGATACAAGTACAAGATTAGTTTAGTCTCGGGATTAAGCTTACTATGCATGGCTTTTGGTTTTATCTTCTATATTTGGACAAATACACTTGCTCGGGTAAAACTGCGGTGGCTGTGTCAACCACCCTTTTGTCTTACACAAACTATCCCAACTACATACTGTGAGGCTGTGAGACTGCCATGCACACACAACAATTTGTCTTTCTTCCCCCATTCTCTTTTGGCATAAACGGTTATTTTCATTATTTAACAGCATAAAAAAAAACACTTATGACATTTCATCAACGGGATCTTCTTTTAATTTTCTAAACCTTCCGTTCTCTATGGGAAAGTTGCATAGCCCTACTAGACGGCATAGATAGGTTAAGAAGACATGACAACACTCCTTAAATCTATTCGCTGTGTTTCCCTTGCAGGATCAGGGGGTAGAGAACGAGTAGTAACTAGTTTAGTTTATGCAAGCTCAGTGTAGAGAAGCTGTGTGCATTTTCTTGATTTTTGAAAACCGTTCTTCTCACATTCATTAATCAAGGGCCTTCAGTCCCTTCAGCATGGGTTATTGGTTAGTCCTTCTATTCAAAATCATCAGGCTTTAAAACTTGTTGTTTCTAGACGAAATAATTGTGTTAAGTTTAAACCTTATTACCTTTTCAAATTGAATTTTAAGACTTGAATCAGAGCTGTCAACAAACCCAATTTCCTTAAATAAGATGATATTTAAGATGTTAGGTACGTCCCAAAGGTTTTTCTTCCCAAGGGTATTTTCCCAAGCGGCAACGTCCCAAGTCTATGAGAGCCGCAGTGTTTGGCCCCCTAGCCTGTCCTAGTTGCAGCGTTCGGCCCCCTAGCCTGTTCTAGCCGCAGTGCTGGGTCCCCCCTAGCTCATCCCAGCTGAAGCGCTTGGCCCACATCGCAGCCTGCACTGCCTCAGAAGTCCTAACCTAACCTTTGTAAAGTTGCCTCTTGGGAAATTGTCACTTGGGAAGTTACCAGTTGGGAATATGCCTTTTTGGAAAATGTCTAGCATCATTTTTTATGCATCTCATAAACTCAGAACAAACAGCAATGTTTATTATTGTGTATACCTGTGTCATGTCTGTTACCATTAGCTCAGGGCATCCCTTTATTCTGGCCAACATTCTAGTAAGCAACACTCTATATTTCAGGGATTATCAATTTAGTTTTGAATCTTAATTAACCATCGTCTCAATTTAAATATTTATTAATAAAATATGGTTTTAAAACTTCACTACAAAGCAATTGCAGCAAATTCAATCAAGAAAGTGACCAAAATAACGGATTTTTTCTGTTTGATGAATTTTTCTATCCTAAACTTTAAACAGACAAAGGATCATTCTTCCATGTTAATTGTGCACTTGGGAGTTAATTTGTCTAATGGGGTTGCTCTATTGTTTTCTGTAAGAGTTTAAGATTCTTATTTTATCTAAAGTCATCCAGTTCATTTAAAACAACCAGCCTTAGACCTTCAATAAATCTTCAAGATTAAAGGAACTGCATACGCTTTAATTTCTCTCCATTCAAAGAAAGAAATGTCCGATTCACAACATTACCCTTTAAACATACTTTTTAGATGACAATTTTGTGGCTTATCAAAACTTTTTACAAAGCTTTTTGGTTGTTTGTTTGTAATCACTGAGCGTCTACACAGCAGAACAGTTTGGACCCAATTTGTTGTGTAACTCACAGGATCCAGGGAAAATTTTGCCGGAAAAAAGTTGACACTTAAACCATTTTTGAAAACCCATAAATTTAACAAGAAAAATCCGCGACATTTTTGGGAGTACGAAGAAAAAATCGGCGTTTTTTTAAAGCGCCAGTCTAAAGGAAAAAGTGTTACTATTTTACAACAGAAAACTTTATTAAACTTTATTAATTAAAAAAAAAAATACAAAACGCACCCGTAAGTAAAGTTTCTTATCTATTTCAGCATGTTCTAAACTTGCTTATTATAGAAATAAATGTTTCTAGATTTTAGAATCTGAATTATCTTATTTTGAGAGTAATCAGCATTGTGACATGGGAGTACCTGTCAGAAAAATATGATACGACTGTTTTTATATTAAAAAAATAATAATTTAATAAATCCTGTCCCTTTATCTTATGTCAAACATAAAGGAAGTTGGACGTTAGATTAAAATCTTATATGTTTTAAATCACATAACTCGATTCTTTTATTGATGCGATTGGTGTGCTATTTAGCTAAATTGAAAAGAACAAGGTAGCAAATATTTAACAGGATAAATGTGAATTTCTTATTACGTAAAAACTATCCAATTTAGCGTAGTTTGTGGTTTTTTAAGCAAAGGTAGTTTTACCTCTTGTCTTGTTGTTTTCCTAATCCTTGTTTAGTAAAACCAGTAAATCCACAATCAATCAGAAGCTGATTTCTCCGGGGGTAATGTCCTGCAAGAATATTAAAAGGATGAGACTATAATTCAAATTTTGTAGATTTTACGATTTGAACGTTAACTTTGGAGTTTTGATTTGAAAATTCAATGTTGACACTTTTAAATTTGAAAATAATTGCTTGATCTCGATATTAAATGTTAATTTGACACTTTTGAATTTGAGAATAATTGTTTGATCTCGTGATTAGAGTTAATCCTGTAGGTTATGACCACCACGGGATATGAAAAAGGAATTTAATTAACTAGGCTTCAAGGGTGGCTTTGCACCCAACTTTCGATTTTATCTTTTAACTGTTCCTCTATCTGCGGCATTTTCTCTTCTATAATTATCAAACAAATATTTTTTGAGGATTTAAAAAAAATTAAAATTTGTTATTGCAAATTTGATTACTTTTTGACCATTCATAAACCTGCCCTGTGGTCCTGTGAGGTCTCTCAAAAAAAATTGGGCTAGATCGATTTAGCAATTTTGACGTTTGTTGTATACAAACAAACAGACAAACAAACAGACAGACACCCAGACAAGTAAAGTATATATTTAGATTCATAGGTCTGTAATAAATGACGTACTCTGAAAACTTCGTTCCAAACTGTATTAGTCCAAGTAGAACCCGTCCGCTATCGAAGTCAACTAAACAGTTCTTGCATCTGTTCGTTTAGTATTAATTAGAGCTAGTGACGTTAACTTTTTATAAAGCTAACTGCTAAAAACTCTGCAATTAGCCGTTCATTTTCAAACTAAATTTTATTAATGGCGTTAACGGAAGATAGTTTAGAAATAGCGCCGTTAAAGAGGAAAATTAATTATAAAAAACATAATTTTCTTTCCATACAATTGTAAGTTTAATCAATTTTTAGCAGAAAAATCTACGAAAGTCACCGACATCAATTGGTTCTTTTATAATTTTCAGTTCTTTTTTATCATGAACTACCGGTAATGTTTGTTCATTTACAAGTTCAAAATTAACGGTTATTGCCATTTGTGAACAAAACGTCGTCCGCCCTAGCAGCAAAGTGGTCTTTCATTCTTCATGTTACCTATGATTCTGGTTAGAACAGTGCCAGCAATATCAGACTCCTGACAGGATCCAAGCTCCATCTGCATAGCATCATAGAAAACATAGTTTCCAGGATGTATCTCCGACAGGGCTGAGAGAGCTGGAGTAGGATGAGAACAGGATGGTGTTGAACCTATCCCAACATCAATACACTTTATTCCTTCATCTTCCAACCAGTCAGCAATTCTATTACAATGGGTTTAAATGGGACTAAAAGAAAACGTATTAAATCTAATTTTTTTTTGGATCAGATAAAATATCAAGCAGAAAAAATCATAAATCTTGCTTTCATTATACAAAGAAAGCACTCTTCTTGCGATCTTTTAACGCTTTCTACGTATTAAATAATCAATTTATTTTGCTATGCCTTTTTAAAGTTTATTCCTGTTTTTTCTTCAATATTTCTTCAAATACATAATTTTAAAAGAATAGATTCTCTGGAGGAAGGATCCTGAAGGGGGCGGAGAAGAACGGAGTAGTACTGTTTTAACCATGCAGAGTACATGAATGCAAAGCACACAGTTTAAGGGTTAAACACAAACGCCAGAAAGTTCAACAGAATTGCGCTCTATATCGGGCAATTGCGCGCAATTCCGCTGCGTTTATCAAAATTTACGACAACTAAAGCCAGTGGCGTAAATAGGGGGGGGGGGTATTGGGATTATTTACCCCCCCCCCCTGGAATCCTGGGGGTAATAAAATCTGAAGATATTCTTCAAAAGTATCTGAGCGCAAAGGTTGATTTTTAAATTGAATATCTTTAAAATTTGCACGAAAATAATTTAAATGTGCAGATATTTCAGATATTTCAGATTTTAAGTCAACATATTATAAATGATCCTATATCCTAAAGTAATGGTCAATGTCATTACAATTAGATGTTTTTTTAATAGAAAAAAAGGGTATGGGCAATGAAGAATACATTTTTACTTCTGAATAATGTCATTTCCATATTAAATTTATTTAAGATTTTAACATACTATACATTGACGACAAGAAAATTTTAGAAATTAGAAATAAGAATATAAACAACGACAATATATTTTTTCAAAGTTTTGCAGAGTAGCGTTTTCTTAGAGTGAAACTATTTTTTATGTTACTTATAATAAATTCAGTTTTCTAATAGATCATTGTACTTAATGTAAAATGAATGACTATATTGAAGGATATAAAAAAAGGTGAAAGCTTAATAATTGATGGAGTTTGTAAATGCCAGAAATGAGTGGAAAATGCAAATCAAATCCAACTAAAACCAATAATTTCATATACATCATGATATATTTCTACGGGGGTAAAAAAAAAATCCTAGGGGGGGGGGGTAAAAAAAATTCAACGCGCTTCGCGCGCCAAATTAAGCAAATGTCCCCCTTCCCCCCCCCCCTCGACAGAATCCTTATTTACGCCCCTGACTAAAGCATATAATACATTTCAACATATTTGTTATTAAATTAATGACCCTTGTTATAAATACCTTTTAACTGAGTTCAGAGCATTGTTTCGAATATCTTTAACTTGTTCTGGAGTATTAGAGTGATAAGAATTTCCACAGTGCACATAAATACCTGGAACATATCAAAAGTGTGTAAAGGAGTTAAGTCATTGCCACAAACCCGAATTTTCTAATCCCTATATCTCTGCAATCTGATGGTGTTAACCTTTTATATTTCAAGTCCATGACATTGGACTGAAAAAATATAGGGATTAGAAAATTAGAGTTTGTGGCAAAGACTCAATTCCTTTAGAAACAAACAATGTTAATCAACAACTAAAAAGAATGGATAAACAAGAAGCCCTGAAATTTGAGATTAGACGAAGCAGTGATGAATCTTGCAATTTCAAGAATTTGCGAAGCTTCCTCCCACCAAACACCAGCTCTGTAACAAAAACATGGTTAACTTACACCAACAAATAATGCTTTAAAGGGACTGTAAGCGTAATTTGAAGTGACCTTCTATTCAAGGTTGACAATGCCCGATTCACAACGGTACCTTTAAAAGATTTGTCTGATTAAGGATGAAACATTAATTTTATCAAAAATGTGGAAGATACCGTATTTTTCCTGAATCGTAAAGTGTTTATTTCTATGAGTTTCTTCATTGCTTCTTATAAAAACTAAATGTGCAAGGTTCTTTAGCAAAGAAACCGCAAATGAAAATAAACAGTTTAAAGAAACAAAAACATGGAAATCTAATTTATACTTGATAAGCCAAAGCTTGCAAGGGTACCGTTGTGAATTGGGCATTGCCAAGTTTGCATGGTTGGTAACTTGAAATTAAGCTTACAGTCCCTTTAAGAAGCTTTGATTAATCTCTTTATATCTTTGTACCCTGATGGTGTAAACCTTTGATATTTCAAACTTATTTACATTATTCGACCAGAACATAATTCATAGTTTGAAATATCAAGGATCTACGGCCTGGTATACAGCTAGGGAACACAAATCAGAGACAAGAACTCAGTTCCTTTGTTGAAAATAGTATTCAAAATTAATCTTAATATCTTAATTTAATCTGAAGATCGAATAAGAAATGAACGATTGGAACCACTTACTTTTGGTTCAAATATTTTATTTTAAAATACGCAAAACCTTACTTATTGAGCCAGAAGTAAAAACTTTTGAATTTTTAATTCTAGGATCAAGCAGTTATCTGTATTTTTTGTTGTCCAAATAATTAAATTTATTTATTTGGATGTCCTATATATGGTCAAACCCCAGCATGGATAACTAAAATTAAAGATCAATCATTTATATATACAGCAAATTTAAACGGTTTAATGTGGATATCGAAATCAAACGTTGTAGATTAGCACTAGTTCACACAAAACTTTCGACCTATGAACATGGACTGACAGTTTTTATTAGATAAATTCAGACATTTTATCATAGATTCCGTTTATGAAAGATTAAAGATATATCTTTTAATATCAATAATCTCTTTTCTTTATTTTTATCTATCTATCCATTCTCTGTCAGTTTCCTATTGATTTGTAAGTTCCCTCTTCGGACTCCTGAGCCCACGATTTAAAAACTTCGACTCGAGCCGTAATTCCTTAAACCCAACTTTAAGACCCGATCTTCGACAGCTGCAAGATCCTCGGCTCGATTGAGGAGTTAGGCCTAATGAAAATAAAACCAACCTTGGTTGGTTTTAGTGGAGAATAAGGCTCAATGTGGAGTCTTATTCTCATAAAAACCCGGAATGCGCCAATTCCTACCATTAAAATCCGCCGAATAGAATATTAAACAGGTTTTTGAACTCAATTCTGTGGAAGGTATTGCAGCTTGAATTCGAAAGCTCAAGTCGTAAATAAGGCCCAACGACAGCTTAGACCCGAGCCATATTTTCCCGAATTTTTTAAATCGCGGGCTCTGATTCCTATATCCTGATATATTCCTATATCCTGATATATTCCTATATCCTGATTTTCCCTCTCTCTCCATTGATCTTTAAACTTTAAACTTTCCAGAGAATATAAAAATGTCTTTAAAAATTCTAAATGTGGGTTTATATTCATATTTATATTATAATATTCAAATTCTCTAATTTCTCCGGATTAGATTGGTAGGTTTGTATTCCCTTGGGGGGATCCCAGTGGATATAATATTACCATAAACTTTTATTCTACTTCTCGGGCAAAACGATAGCAATAAATATTTTCGTTTTCGGTTTTCTCGCAGTAGAAATGCGTAACATACTTTTGCAGAAAAACCACAATCGAAAATCATCAGTTTTCTAATTTTAAACATTGAAATCAAATTCCTAGTTTATGAGACAAAGCTTTGGAGGGTACCGTTGTGAATTGGGCGTTGCCAATTTACATTTCACTTGAAATTAAGCTTATTGCTCTCTTAAGTCTTAATAAGAGTCTAAACCCCCTCTCACAGGCTCATATTTTTCAGACAAATACTATATTTTCTTTAAAATTATTTCTTTGTTTCTCATTTTGCATTAAACATTGCAAATCCAGGAATAGCCTTAAATGTTTGAATTATTATGCACATTTTAATAAGTAAATTATACAGGTTATGAATTAACATATGAAATTGCTCAGTCAAACCTAAATATTTTTCTAATTTTTCTACAAAAAGAAACATATAAGCTTCTTTTTAAACTATACAATTATCCTTGGTAGATATTTACTTTAAGAGGACGCCATGATACATTGTTCCATGGTAGATATTTACTTTAAGAGGACGCCATGATACATTGTTCCTTGGTAGATATTTTAAGAGGACGCCATGATACATTGTTCCTTGGTAGATATTTACTTTAAGAGGACGCCATGATACATTGTTCCTTGGTAGATATTTACTTAAAGAGGACGCCATGATACATTGTTCCTTGGTAGATATTTACTTTAAGAGGACGCCATGATACATTGTTCCTTGGTAGATATTTACTTTAAGAGGACGCCATGATACATTGTTCCTTGGTAGATATTTACTTTAAGAGGACGCCATGATACATTGTTCCATGGTAGATATTTACTTTAAGAGGACGCCATGATACATTGTTCGTATCTATTTGAACATAATATAGTATATAAATTATAGTAAAGCTTATTAATCAAATATCTAATCTGTTTTTCATTTTAAAGCTCTGGTTTGATTATTTTACATCAGGATTAATGGTTTTCAATGGAAACCCTTTCACAGAAATGAAAAAAGAATAGTTTTATCTTTACTTGGGATAAAACAGGAATATGTTCACCTTTCATTTCCACAGTCTATTTTTAGTACAATAGACCACTTCTTACCCTGAGGGGGAGTAGAATCCTAAACATGTTTTTATGATAATGATATGATATGATAATGATAATCAAAAACTTTTGAACTGTATGCTTCAAACTCAGTTTATCGTAGACCTTCGATATTATATTAAACTATGAAATAGTCGAAGCTACCAAAAAAGGTGTTAGAAAATTTGAGTTTGTGGCAAAAACTCACTAAAAGAGTATAAATATTTAGCAAAAAGCCATCTGTGTATCTTTTGCATTATTTTTTAGTTTACCTGAAAAAATATGCATATCTCCAGGTTTGCAACCATAACGTGGAATGCATCAAGCTGGGATCTTGAAACAACAAATAAATGCATTTTTATTCAAACTTTTTCAGAAATTCAAAACTCTTCTCTAAATGCGCTTGATAAAATAATAAATCCAGATGCTTTGGTCTGTTAAAATCAAAAAAAAATTAAAATAATGCATTTAACCGTTCATCTTTTTTTCTTTGTAGATTTTTTGAAACCTGTAGTGTTTCCAAAAGTGTTTACATAGCTATTTAATAGTATCACCTCTCTCCCCCCCCCCCTTCCTAGAATATTTTGGCAAAGAAAACGTCAGTATGAATAGTGTTAAGATCGGAGCTTGTATCATCCTCTTTGTATTTAATCTAACTAAAACCATATATATTTTTTTAACGATTGATTTTTTTCATGATAATTCTTATTAATATAAAAAATATCAAATAATGATTCAATCAAAATTGAATAAAAATCTCGGTTTACTCTTGCAAATTCTTAAAATTTAAAATATAATTTCTTATTCAATTTAGCTTATTATGTTATTTTTTAAACTTGATTTTTCTAAATATATTGATGTTTTTTCTAACCTGAGTTTATATACCCTGGGTAGATGTTGGGGAATCAAGGGGAATCCGAAAAGAATATCCTAAACAAATACATTTTTAATCAACTTTTTTCCGATGCGTAAACAGAATGTTTATGTTTGAAAAGTTTGTGTAAAAAGTTCCATTAAATTTCTACATATTTCTATCTAAATCTTTCCTTCTTAACTTTTTGAAATACTTTCACCAAATTTTAACAGGCGGCCATTCTGCCCTTTTAAAGTTTTATAAAATATTTCGTCTTTTTGTAATCTTAAAAATTTATCCAAGTTGGAATAGTATTTTTTTTTACTTTTGGTATTTTGAAATTTTTAAATAACTAATTTTCTTTCAGTTATTGATTTAGAGAAGAAACGACACGGAAACCCAATCTTCAACAGGATTATATTGTTACTTTTTATCTCGAGAAATTCTAGAATTCCCATTCTAGGTAATAATGTTGTAAAGCAACGATTAGTTAAAAATGACTGAGAGTTAAAATCCTGGAACGTGAATTATAATATTACTCATGCTCCGGTTGTTGTTACTGCAGAACAATCATAGACATGATGTCAAAATGTACTAATTCAAACTTTCCTGAAGAAATTCTGTACATATACCTACATTTTCTGTACATATACCGTACATTTTCTGTACATATACCGTACATTTTCTGTACATATACCGTACATTTTCGAAATATTCTGCACATATACCTTACATTTTCGAAATGTACGGTATAAAAATATATTTACAATGCTTTGAGAACATGTAAATAAAATGAAAAAATAAACTTAAGGTATGGGAGAACCTTTAAAAAGTACGTGGGAAATCACATTTTAAAGTTTTATTTTACTCATAACAAAAATCCCCAAAAATATGAAAATATTCTAAATTTTACCTCAAACCCACTTTTAGCATACATCTCACATTCTAGAAGAGTGGAAGTAACAATTTTCCTTCGGCTACCTTATTTTTGAAAAGTAAAAATTGTTTTTATTCTAATTGTTCGTTTTTCCCTGTATTTTTTAAATATCTGAAGGTTGGCCTTAAATTAAAATTAGTTTTTATGGTTTAACTAAATATGTAGTTTGACAAAATAAAACCAAGAAAATACAAGAAAATTTTTTTTTATGTTTTCTGTACAATCCTCTCTAAGGTTTCCTTTCGGGTAAACCAACCTGTTTCACTTTCGAAAGGGTTCGAAAAAAAATTAAATTAATTAAAAACTTTTGAAGTTTTGATATTACAATAATGTTGTGATTAGAATACATATTTATCTAATTTCACCTCCCGTTTGTAAAACACCTCCTTCTACAGTTTTGTGAGTCTTTGTTTGCCCTCGTAAACTTATTCCCGCAGTTCTAAATACAGCATTGAGGTTAGAACAATGTTTGCCCTCGTAAACTTATTCCCGCAGTTCTAAATACAGCAGTGAGTTTAGAATGTTGTTTGAGACAAACCGGAGTACTTTTAATTGTGATCTATAATTGCAAGTTTGTCGAGACTCGTAGATTTTTTATTTAGATCTTATAATGTTTGTTTTTGCTCGCTTTCGCATTACGCAAAACGTCTGAACCAATCGGGCAAAGTTCATAGCTGACCAAAGTTGAACAATTTTGCCTGGACAAATTCAAATTTTTAAAATTTTAGAATATCTATTATTTTAACAGAAAAATCCGCAAAATTTTATCATTTAAAAAGTGGAATAGTACTTATGGCTATTTTGGTTTTTTATATTGTAATCCGGGATATACTGATATAAGCTGAAGGTGAAAACATAAGATGAAAATAAACAATATATATATTCATTGAACACTTTTTCAAATAGAAAAGCAAAATTGATCTAAAGTTGTATATTTATATAACAGGAAAAATGTTAAGATGATATGGAGAAAGGAATTTCTTTTATTAAGATAAAAGTTTTGACAAAATGACAAAATGACACTAAATTGTAAACTGTAAAGTGTACTTAAAGTACATTGTACATTATCAAACATTGCAGACATTGCTTTTGCACTTTTACAAAAAAATCGTGTTTATATATTGAACTCATTTTTTACAATTAAATAGAGAGCTCCTGCAATTTTCAATCCAGACCTAGAAAAAATATTAAGAAGTACATAGATATTAAGATACCTTGCCAACTCTAGCATGCGGCTGCAGTTAGATTGATAAACCTTAAAAAAAAATTTTCTTCAAAATTTAATATATTTAATTGTTAACTATTTATTATCTTAAAAATGAACAAAATAAAGTATAGAAAAATCAAAAAGGGTACAAAATAAACCTGAATAAAGTTTTGTACATAATCGATGATATTTTTTGGTTTAAACGATGTTTCTATAAAAATAAATAAAAGATAAAAATAAACCTCGAAAGATAAAAAACGGAAAGTTTACAAAAATTGGTTGGACTTGGTAACATTTTAAGTATATTGTTCAGTGATAACCAGAAAATAACATTTCCCCTTATCATTTACTCTAGACCTTTCCCCTTATCATTTACTCTAGACCTTTCCCCTTATCCTTTATAGACCTTTTCCCTTATCCTTTATTCTAAACCTTTCGATACCCTTTACTCTATATATAGTCCTTTCCTCTTATCCTTTACTCTAGCCCTTCCTTACCTTTTACTTTAGACCAATCCCCTTACTCTTGTCTTTTCCATACCCTTTACTTCAGACCTTTCCCCTAGTCCTTTACTCTTGTCTTTGTAATACCATTTACTCTTGACCTTTCTCCTTATCCTTTAATTTATAACTTTCCCTTTATCCTTTACTCTTGTCCTTCACATACCCTTTACTTTGGACCTTTAATTCCCTTTATTCTTTACTCTAGTTCTTTCCATTCTCTTAAAACTAAACCTTTATCAAACCTTTATTATAAACACTAAAGGATGCGAATGGGTTTTGAGTAAAAAAAGGATAGGTCATGCGTAAAATATGTGGAACTGTTCAGATAGGTATAGGAGTAAAGGAGTTCTACAACAAAAGTTAACCCCCGAAGCATAAGAACTCAAAGAATTATCAAGGAAAGCGTTTTAGAATAGAAGGGTAGGAGTAAATAAAAAGGAATGTTCAGAGTAAAGGATAAGGGGATAGGTCCATAGTAAAGGGTATGGTGTAGAGGAAGAAATCCCCGAACGAGGATTATGAAATCCGAAAATCAGTAGTGTCGGATCCTAGAACCAGAGAAAACCTACTCAACTTCCTCTCCTTTTATACACTCGTTATATATCATGTAATTATATCTAGAAGCAATAAATGTACTTCTAAAGTGGTGACCCCATGAGGTCGGAAACACAGCCTCCTGGTCGGAAATAGTTTGCAAGAATTCGACGAGGATAACACTCTCAGGCTTAAACTTCTTATCCACAAATTCACTATTCCTTCATCCTACAATTAGCTACTCCTGGAGCTAATAAGCTAAACCCCAGCTACTCCTGGAAGTAATAAGCTAAACCTTAGCTACTCTTGGAGCTAAAAAGCTAAAACTCAGCTACTCCTGGAGCTAATAAGCTAAACCTCAGCTACTCCTGGAGCTAATAAGCTAAATTTCAACCCTCCAGAAGCTAATCAGCTGCACTGCTTGCTACTCCTGGAGCTAATTAGTTACACAGCTACTCAGCTAAGAGGTCCTTCAAGCACACTGTGATTTGGGTTTGTGCCAAAAACTCAATTCATTAATTATTTGTTGAATTAATAATTGTATTGAATATTTCTCTTGACGGTTTTTTGATTTATTTGTCAATAATCCATCTAACCTGAATATCCACCAAGAAGGATGGAGTGCTCAAATCATAAATACTTTTCCCTTTATCCGGTTTTTCTATTTCTTGTTTTTCTATTTCCATTTTTCCTTCCTCCATATTTATACAATTAGACTGTAATATATTCCATTAAAAAATTTTAAACATGGCGATTTGTAATAAATTAGTATTATTAATTATCCTAGCTTAGGAACCCAGCTTTGTAAGGAAACTAAGTTTTACTATAGAAAAGTCAATCACCTCAACTTATAGTTTTTAAACAAAGCCAAGAACATTCCCATTGTTTTACCGATTTCACCAATCAAAATTCGAGGTAAATCGGTTAAAATGTTCATGAGTTATGATCGAATATCCAAATAAACACACAGAAAAAACAGAGATTACTACTTTATATCCATAGATCTACATACACTAGCTTGGAACCCAGCTTTCCCCTATAAAAAACATGTCCTTAGCTCTAAAAAATTGCCGATCTAAATTTAATTCTAATCAATGCACAGTATCAATTTTCGAACAATGTTTATCAACTAGGAACTTCAGTTAGATCATTCATTCATTATGGTTCCGTTCGGAACACTTTTGTTCTGTTTTTTAAAGTTTATTTATAGTCCAAAAAGGAATCGAGTCTTTGCCAAAAACTCTATATAAATCTATATATCTTTGCAACCCGATGTCGTACACCTTAGATATTTTTCAAACTATGCATTCTCCTAGATCAAATAACCTGAGTTTGAAATATCAAAGCTTTTCGCCATCAAATTAAAAAAGATATTAGAATAGGAAAATCAGAGTTTGTGGCAAAAACTCAATTCCTTTTAACATTTGTTAACATTGGTTAACGATGCATGGAGTTAACTAAATATTACATTTGTTCAATTTACAATTAACAAAAGTATTGAAACACAAAATCAACAATCTATAATATATATACTTTGCTTGTCTAAGCGTCCGATTTGATTTTTGTAAAATTTAGAAAATCCACGAAAAAATACCATTAAATCTACGAAATTTTTTGTTTTTGTTTTATATTGTACAAAGAGAAGATGCTCAGTGCTCAAAGATAGAGCCACAATTAAGAGTTAAAACCGTAAAAGTCTAGTTGGTGAAAAAAAACCTGAACTCAAGATCTACATTTGGCTCTACAGATGAATATATAGGGCCAAGAAATAATTACATAGCTCAGGATGATTTATTAGTTTTATTATTTATTATTTATTATTATTATTATTATTATATTATTCATTATTTTATATTTATTACTATTTATTAGATTTATCACAATTTTACCTAATAACATGGGAATTGAGTGACCATTTTTATAAAGAATTTGATCCATGCGGCACTTTTTCATTAACACAATTATTGCAGTATTAGAATTCAAACATCTAACATCGAAAACGTCTGATCTTCAGATTTTCAAAATGTGATCTTAATTTTTTGTATTTTCTAAATTGACAGAGATATTGCAAAATTTCTCCTAATTTGAATTTATTCAATAAATCAAAATTGTCTCTAAGTATCTAATATAATCTTCAATTTTTGAAACACAAGAAAGGTAGACAGACCACTTTACGAAAAGCTCATTTTTATACTTTCTTTGTCATGCCTTAAATATCAGAAATCTCTCTCAATTCCCATGTTTGATGGGACACCCTGTATAAATTTTTTTTTTTTATAATTTTTGTCAGCAAATATGTTTTAGATTAAAAAGAATAAAAGACAACTCCTTAATTTTTAAGATTATTGAGTTATAAGCCAATATGCGATTTTGAACAATTAACAGTTAAAAAAATTGCAAAAAATAACTTTTTAAGAGCATTTGCTATGTAATTGTTGCGCATCTAAAACAATATTTAAATTAAACATCCTAACATAACTTCTGCGAACTGAACAATAAACATATGAACACAGTTTCTGAACTAATCACATGTGATAAATATTTAATAAATTGTATATATAACATACGACAATATCAAAACTGAACTAAAAAAAGATATTTTATAAACTTGATATTTATATCTTGCCTCTATAGATATGAATTGTTCACTAAATATATTCAAGTTTAACATGTGTTATGTTCGATGTTTGAAGTTAAATTTAATGGGGTTGGTCTGGGAAGGGGTTGGACATTTCAATAATCTTGTACAGAGTAATTCTACATGATCCACGCGGTGTACAGTGTATTCCAATAAACACGGGATTACGAAATTATGAAATTACGCATGCAAGAATATATTTTATGTAAACGGTATAATTGGCTGTTATTCCATGTAAATGTTGTATGATGTGTTCACAACATTTCTTTAAGATGTATGTATACAATCATATCAGAAAACAATGGAATGGGAAGACGACATTATAGCAATGTATAACTATTTTTGATGTTGTTACAAAACAAGTAGTTTTACAAGACACTTTTAAAATTAATGAAATGGGCCTGTTTACATTGCACAATTGCTTTGTGTCGTGCTCATTTATATACTGTTTAAAGTTAAAGCATGAGTCTAAAAGTCCTATTTCGGAGTTTTCTGGATATCACTTTATGATTTAAAGAGGAATGAATAATCATTAATTAATAATTATCTATACAATTAAAAAGATTTATTTTTAAAAATATGATTGTTGTCTTCTTAGTGCCGATTTCTGGCGTTTGCAGTCCTCTTGCAGGGAGGGCTTAGGTAAAAAGTCATACATTGAGTAGGTTAACATCATATTAGATCGATTATAGCCCAAAATTGTGATTTTAGGGATTAATCAGAATATTTAAAAACAATAAATCTTTTTTTTTTAAATTAAAAGGTTTCTATAAAAGTGTTCTTGAGGAGAAAATACCAGGTTTTTTGAGTATTATATATGTGCACATTTTGGCGTTAAAGTTTGGAGATAATCTAATATTTTATGGGACACTCTGAATAATTGAGGCAAAACTGGGTTCCCAAGTTTAAAATGTATGTCATCGAAACTTGAAATGTATGACATTTACTTTCCAAATTCTAGACGTATATGAATTAATGAATGTGTTTTTAATGGAAATATTAACGATAATTTGTACATTTTTTTATAATCATTTAGAATAAGTAATGACAAGAAATATTAAAAATATTTTTGAAATTAATGCTGCATCGCCTGAGAAGAGGTGTTTTTTTTATCCAATTAAATATCTTAAATCATCACTTTCAGCTATATGGCGCCTTAGGGGTGGGGAGGGGGGGGGGCACACATGGAAAACTGGGGGAAAAACCCTGAAAAAGTTAAGAGGATCCCACTCCCCCCAGAATAAAAGGATGGCGTAAATAAGGATACGGAAAAACTTTTAATTTGATTTTTTAACTGGATAAAATAATTTTCCGATGGAGTAATTTAACATTTTGCAATGGATGCAGAATATTTTTTTTGTGTTAAACAAATTCCGGGGAGGGGTTGCAGGAGGGGAGGAAGGCCAACCACAACAATTTAAGGTCCGAGCCACATTCTCCTCAGTTTCTCGTCCGAGCCGCCTCGAAATCCTCGTCTTTTCAAAAATATGTTGTTAAGTCTCCAATCCTTGAAGATACTTTTTGAAAATCTGTCCACGTTAGGGAATATGTTAATATATTGAATTGTATGTATATGCTCCCAAAACGATGTTCTACAAATAAGCATCTGTCTGCAGTAGCCATTTTTCGCAAATTATTATGAAATTCAATCAAAACAGCTGTTTCTATTCTTACAGTTTATTTTCATCAAAATTTTCTTAATGATTTGATTACTGTTTGAATTCATAGGGTTGTGACGGATAAATTGTAGCAAATGATTTAAATAATTTAAATTAAACATTATTTTCTCCTTGAATATAATCGTGTGACAGGCAGAAGTGACTTGGTACGAGTACAAACATTTGCCTTATTTGTAAATATATCAGAAATCAATAATTTTTTTATATGGGTTGAAATGTAAAAATTATAGACCATGTTCAAGTTAATACTTTGATATCATTTTGAAATATGAAAGTTAACCATTTTGGAGGCAGATGAGGTTTAGGTTTTAACCTAAATAACATCATTCTCATGGATTTGAAGATTCCAACATTAAAAAAATAATTGCAAAACTTTAGTCTAGCATTGTTTTATGCCCTAACGTGGCCAGATTAAAAAAAATATTCTCATCTTCCAGGAATGGGACACATATAAAACATGTGTTAAATAACGAGGATTTCGAGAAAATGAGGAAAATGTGGCTCGGACTAGGAATTGTTGTGGTTGGCCTTCCTCCCCTCGTTGCAGCGTAGGATAAAAAATATTCTTATCAATCACTTATTTTATCGCTATATTTCTGTTGGCCATAGCATAATTAAAGAACTAACAGTATACATATTAGAGTTTGGAGATTTGCTTGTGTACATGTTGTGACTCAATCCTGCGAAACATAATTTAGCCGGTTCACTCAAAATGACATTTTCCCCCAAATAAAATTTTTTGCCTGATCCTAAATTATTTAATTACTAAATTTTACGTCTGGTAAACACCCTATTGTCTGGTTACCATAATGTCAGGTTACAAAAAAATGCTGGTTACCAAATATGTCAGACAACCAACCTGTTAGTGACCAAAATTTTAGCTACCAAATCTTTAGTGACCAAAATGGTAGTTACCAAAATTGACAGGTAATCAAATAGTCAAGTTGGTAACAAAATTCTTACCAAAAATATTTCGGAGCAAATTAAACTTTCTAGCTTATTGCGTAACACTTTAAGATTTTATACTATTTGATCTAACGGAATTCCTCAAATCTCTATATAGAATCGGGTTGGAAAAATATACGTATTAGAAAAGCAGAGTTTGTGAAAAGAACTTTAAATCAAATTATTAATCCCTTCCAAGTTTTAAATTCTGTTACGTATGTCGTCAGAAGAGATGGGCAATCAGAAGTGCAAACCCTAATACTGGGTTTCCCACGAAACACGACAGTAGCAAGAAAACTTTAAAGTCGCCTTTGCTCTTTGAATTTATCTGTGACATTTAGTCGTCAACCTACATGGTTTATTTTTGAACAATAAACCCAAAATTCTCCTAGCCCTGGCACCTGGCATTTCCAAAGTGTGGTCTGCCTTTTTTGTGCTTTCAATATTACCGGAGATATTGAGAATTGCGTTCAGATTTTAATTTTGTTAAATAAAACCAAAATGGTCGAAATCTGAACGAAATTCTTCATATCTCGGGTAATATTAAAAGTACAAAAAATGCAGACCACATTTTGGAAATGTCAGGAATAATGGGTATTTTGTGATCTTTTTCACAAAAATTTTATAAATTCTTTAAGTCGTCTTGATCCTGTTATGTTTTGTGGGACACCCTGTATCTTTGGTTAAATCCCCCCCCCCTCCTCCAATCAACTCTTGAAAACATTCTCAAATTCAATGATTGGTTCTGAATTGAATTCATGATACACTTAACCTAGCTTTCCTCTCAGAATTCTAAAATTCTGTTTTCTCATAGCTTCTAGTTGAACTCGGTTTACTTTTTTATTTTATTTGGATAAAATAAGGCGACTCTCTTAAAAAGCAAGATTTGATGAAAACGGATGTGATTATTGTAAAATTGGATATGAATTATAAGAATACTCAAACAAATTGAACTTTGGTTTTTCATGAATTTTTTAGACTTTTTCTTCTTCGTTTATGCAGATAATGTTGCTAACCATTAACTTTAAGACCTCTGTGTAATGTCGTCTTTAACTTAAATCCCCTCTCGGAGACACCAAACCAAATAATTTCAGCCCCTTTTTTTCTTTGTTCTCCGGGGACGGAGTCTAAACAGTCTCATTTATTGTGAATCCATTTCAAAAGTTAACAAAGAATATTTTCATATGAAGAATTAGAGAATTTCGTTAATATTCAACTGTCATTTATTTCAGAAGTTTAAAAACGTCTTTTAATACTGATCAACAATAAGTTAACCCCTTTATCATCCGCTAATAAATCGTAAGATTTTTTCTATTATTAATATTCATTATAACATTTGTAGAAGTAACCAACCTATAATTTATGTTATTTCTTAGGAAACAAAGCTTTTGTTATTGATTTCTTGAGACGGGGTTACTCTGTTGTGTGTGTTTGCTGCTAACCGGGGAAAGATTCGTCCCCCCACTAGAATCCCGACAGGCCTATTGTTCAACTTTATCTGGTTTGTTTGCTGTTATCCGTCAACAACTGTGTTAATCGTCTAAGATAGTTTTTAGAAGAAAAATAATAATAAAACTTTCAAGATTTCAAAACTGTATCATGTTAAAGCTTGCTTTATTAAAATTAGCAATTAATGTCTTTATTCTAAAAAATATATAAAATGTATACCGATCCCAAAACGATCGTTATAACATGGTTATAACACGTTCATTTCTGCATCGTGTTGTTAAAATGGTTTTTGCATACGTATCTTTTTGCCAAAGTCAAATTTTTCGCGAAAAGTAAATTTTTAAAATACAAATTTTTGAGTACATTTGCTTCTCTTACATAATGCAAAATTTTGAGCCTGAAAAAAATGCCTCCTAAATGATCCGGAATAGAATACAGATAACATTTCTGTAAACTCTAAACCATAATTGCCGGCTAAATGATCCGGAATGCATAGAATACAGATAACATTTCTGTAAACTCTAAACCATAATTGCCGGCTAAATGAACCGGAATGCATAGAATACAGATAACATTTCTGTAAACTCTAAACCATAATTGCCGGCTAAATGAACCGGAATGCATAGAATACAGATAACATTTCTGTAAACTCTAAACCATAATAATTGCCGGCTAAATGAACCGGAATGCATAGAATACAGATAACATTTCTGTAAACTCTAAACCATAATTTTTCTTATTATTTAGAGTGCGCATTTATAATAGTTTTTAGCTTATTAATTTTTCTTTTTAGATAAAAGCCTTCAACACCACGATAACTAACTTTGCTAAATGTATACAATTAATTCATTGACACCAAGAAAAAACCAACACACATTGGTAAAAAAAAAATCATTTTTCAAAGACAACTTATGGGATATACTTAATATGTTTAAAACTATTTCTAGTTCTCAACCACTCTTAAATCTGTCAAAATACAAAAGTATTTCAAAGATCTTCATTTTTCGGTATCACAAATTGTGCATCCTTGTTTTACAGATTATGCACGCAGGCATTATTGTGCTGTGTGAAATTATTTATTGTGCAGTGAAATGGTATAAATTCACTTCTGAAATCTTAATTTACGTTAATCTATATTTAAGTTAAATACAAATTCTAAGTCTGTGTTTGTAAACAAAGGGAGTCCAGTTTCTGTTGTATACTGTGCACTCTGTACAGACCATTTTTTATATATATATATATTATTTCTAAATACTTGGGACATAAAATGTCGTCATCCAACTATGAGTTTGTCCCACTTTAGTATATAAACACTTTGTTTATAACTGGGACTAAGAGTTTAAAATTCAAATTGTTTGGGGAGGATTTTCAGACAGTGCCTATGCAACTAAGGAGTTGAACTACGACTTTCAAACTTGGATACAGCATACCTTATCATCATTTAGGAAGACTAAATATTTGAGAACCCTACTATTTATATATTAAAAGTTATCACATCAAAACATGTCATATTTGAATATTATCACATAGAAGCAAACAGTCATTTCTATACCCGCACATACATCAGTGCACATACTGCATTTTCTTTGTCTATATTGAAGTACATACAATCTTTAACCTTAAATTTTATTTTTAGCTAATCCAGATCTTCTAGATACGAGTTGTGATTTACTGATGACAAAATGATTTTTATATGTTTTCCTGATTCTTGAGACCTATAGCTCGTGAAACAAAAATCTTAGCTTTTAAACCAACAACTCGGGAAATTTCAAAGAGAAATCATACAACGTTTTTGATCACACTTACCATGCATAAGAAAACAAAAGGTGAAGAACCGTATTTTATAAAAGTTTTATAACTTTATGTTTTGTGAAATATTGCTGATTTTCATGAGAACTCGTTTGTTGTCCAATTTTGATGTGTAGGTCATTAAGTAACATGAACCTTAGTTTTAACATATTTACGCAAATAAAAACTTTTATTATAAAAAAGCACTTTACTCTACATGGATATATTTTTTCTCGACCAAAAATATTTTTCTACCTTTTTAGTTGTTTATAGTATTTCAATAAAAATACAGCATCACAAGATTAAAATCACAATTTAAAATTGTTTTTAATATTCGAAAAATTACTTGACGCCATTTGCATAAAAATATAAAAGAATTTGTTTTTACTTTCTCTACTATTGAACATTACATTTTTCTTTAATTTCTTTTTTCTTTCTTCTTGTTTCTAACTTTTTATCAATTTTCTCTTTAGATGCCTCTCTTCTTTCTTCATCCTAAGAAAAAAAAAATCAATAGATAGATGTTCAGTTCCACATTTTGAATTCCTTAAAAATCTTGACTGTGGTATGAATTGCATTTGCATATAATTCCGCAAAACTTGTATGCAAGAGATTTTTTTAAAATAGACAAACACAGTATACATCGGATATAAAATCAAACTCATAAACGTATAGAACATCGGAAGGGCTTTTAAAATGTCGTCTTTTAGCATTTTTTCTGTGTTTTGCCGCAAAGAGTTTTGTAATATGAAGGATATAACACATACATTTTTGGCATGGGACGTAGCTTTGCGGAGGGGGGGTAGATAAAACTCCTATTATTGAGGGTTAGGTTAGGTTAAGAAAATTTCTGGGCCGAGCGCTGCGGCTAGGATGGGCTAGGGGGCCGAGCGCTGCGGCTAGCACAGGCTAGGGGGCCGAGCGCCGCGGCTAGGACAGGCTAGGGGGCCGGCGCTGCGGCCACATAATCAATTTAGTAGTTGTATCTATCCCCCCCTCCGCAAAGCTACGCCCCATGCCTAAATTGTTATCATGTTTTTATAGTATTATTCATTTTCCTGTTAAGTTGCGAGCAGAAAACTTTAACAGCTCAGGAAAATACACGACGTAGCTTCAAATTAAAGTTCAAGGCGACATTATATATATTCCTTTATATAATAGTTTAACTGTAGATTAACATTAACTACATTGTAAGAAGGATATTATAGAGTACTCTTGGAACCAAGCTTTGCCTGGAAACTAAACTTTTACTTTAAAAGTTAATTTGTTCATTTTAAAATGTTTAAACCAAGTAACCAAGTAACCATGATTCTAACGATTTCCCCTATCAACATTTGAGGGAATTTTGAAGACATCGGTTTATAATATTTCTTTTAAATCATCTATTGTCTAAGTTTGAATCTATGCAAATGTGTTCAGTGTTCAACCATTAAAAATCAACGCTACTCTCTTAAATTCCTGGCTTTTCTCAAAAAGTTATTTATCTAAAGAATTTTGCTGAGTTATCATTTAATGAATACAAATTACGAATAAATAAATTAATAATTGATATATTGTCCAAAGCATGAACAATGAAAAAATTGCCTAAGGAACCGGGTTTATGCAAGAAACTCAAGGTTTTAAATCCTATAAATATTTGCAACCTGATGGTTGTAAACCCTTGATATTTCAAACTCAAGACAAATTAATTAACATAATTCATTGCTTGAAATACCAAAGGTTGCAAATCAATAGTTTGTGACAATTGAGCTTTTTTACTTTGTTTAGTTTTGAAATTTTCTTTTTATTTAGGGTCAAAAAAATATCCTGTATCTCGTGTTAAAATTTTCTATCCCTTGAAGAGTTAAGCTTAGGATGTTGGACGTGAGATATAAAAAAAGGATAAAAGAGTAATATTTGAATATATACAGTAATTAACGAAAAACAAGGATTTAAGTAGATGAAAGGATGAAAGGATGAATAAATAAAAGAGTTCAAAATAAAAGAGTTCAAAATATAAGGAAGGATGAATGAATGAATGAATGAAGACCTCCTGAATCTTTCTCTCCAGCTGCCTGGCGTCCTCTACACTGAGGTTGTAATCCTTGGCGACCTCGGCCACCATCTCTTTCTTCTTCGCCTGAAAATAATCAATCAATCAATAAACAAACTAATTTTACAAATATTTTCACAAAATTATGTTTTTAACCTCTATCTCAGTTAAAACTTTTAAACTATTTTATTTATGCTAGAAACACGGACATTTTCGTGGTTCTAACCATAATCAAGATTTAAAGCAAATCAGTCAAGGGGTACATACATGACCTATGATCGGACAGGCAGACAAACAGACAAACAAAGGTTACTTATTACTATACATATATATACAAAGATATAACATGAAGTGTATACAAAGGCTGTCTCAACTTATCTTATTAAAAGTTAAGAATGGACTCTGTTCAACAGTAAAAGCGAGTTTAGATGAATTTTACAAAATGTTTCAAAAAAAACTAATTTTTAGTGACCCCATTCTTAATCTTTCCGTTTTTTATTCTGATAATAAAAAAGTTGAACTTATAGTTGTTTAGAGACCTTTTAAAGTAATAATTTTTTTAATCATCTCTTATAGTCTTTAACTGTACATGAAGTGTACCCAGAGGCCTTCTAAACTTATCTTATTAGAAGTTAGGAATGGCAGTATACCTATTTCAATGTAAAGGGACTATGCACGAGTTTAAGATTGAAATCAGAGGGGTTTATTTTGTTAATTTATATATTTATACCAGCTAAAGTGCCCATCGTTGCCCGTGGAGGGGAATAAAAAAATCGAGTTTTGCAAGAAAACATTTCTAATTTTATATGAAGTTTTGATTTTTGGGAAAAAAATTCTAATTTTTTTAGCCTATGTTACCCCCAGGGTATCCATGGGTTCCCTCAAAATATATCAGCAAATTTGGTACAGCCGTTTGGCTAGCTTTAGCTAACATACATATATATACACATTACATATATGCAAATATATTAAATTCGTTTGGCGAAATTTTATTTCTTGCAAAATTTTGTTGGGAAGAAATTTTTCTTGCTATCTGGGCTCAGGTCTTAAGTTCTTATTACTACAACCCCCCCCCCCTGCCCCTTCTGCACTTTTATTAAAACATTAAAAAGTGAAAAGTTTGACAAGATGTCCTAAGCAGATCTACTTCAATATATAAAACTTATTTCTGGGATTTATTAGACTTATTAGAAGCATTTTAGCAGAGATGCTTAATTGAAAGTAATACAAAAGCAGCTCCTAATATGAGAGTACAACAATAGGAGCAGTTTTATTAGAAGTAGCTTAACAAAAAGCAGCATTATTGTGAACAACAAGTTCAGCTTCAGAAGAAGCAGCACTATTAGGAAATATTAATAATAGGATTTTTAAAAGCAGTTTCATTAGGATTAGTTCAATTTGGAGCAGTTAACTTGAAAACGGATGTAATAAGAGCAATTTCAATAGAAGAAGTTTTATTAGTAACAGTTTCCTGGTAGCTTGATTAAACAGTTTCCTTGTAGCTTGATTAAACAGTTTCCTGGTAGCTTGATTAAACAGTTTCCTGGTAGCTTGATTAAAAGCAGGTTATCGTAAGCAGCTTTATTCCAAATATAGCTTCATTCAGTGGAATGCTATTAGGAGCATGCAGTTTCTTTAGGAGCAGCTGTTTTAAGTGTTCATGTATTTTCATCAAACAGGCGCTTCCTCAACAAGAATGTACAGATTGAATTTAGACTTTTACACTTAATTTTAACCGTATCGATGTTCGATCAATTTAACAGTATCAATGTTCGATCAATTTAACAGTATCGATGTTCGATCAATTTAACAGTATCAATGTTCGATCAATTTAACAGAATCGATGTTCGATCAATTTAACAGTATCGATGTTCGATCAATTTAACAGTATCGATGTTCGATCAATTTAACAACAGTATCAATGTTCGATCAATTTAACAGTATCGATGTTCGATCAATTTAACAATATCAATGTTCGATCAATTTAACAGTATCGATGTTAAATCCTGTTTTCGAAAAATATGATTGTAATGGTTTCCGTGGAAAATATTTTGAATAAAATATTCTGAATGTTGATCAAGGTTAAACCTTGAATCTTATGTAGAGAGAGAACACTAGAATATAGAGGATCAGACACCACCAGCACACACAATCATATTTATATATAACTAGCTCATAGCCCAGCGTTGCCCGTGGAATTTCAGACACTTGAAAAATTTCGAATTTAAAAAAAATTTAATTTTGAAAATTAAAATACTTTGCATTTTGAAAATAAATTCAAATTTGTTTAGCGAATTACGCCCGGGGGGTACCCAAAGGTTCTCTCAACAAATGCCCGCCTATTTGGTTCAGCTGTTTGGCCAGCTACAGCTAACATGTATGATACATATACGAGGTTCTACTGTAACTATAAACTTGTTTTTTTTTTTCATTGCAAAATCATAAAATAAGCCAATAAATGACTATATTCTAGGCAGAAAACTTTATTTAATCTAGCATCTTCATATTTTAAGAGTTTAAATCGCCTTTACTGTTATTTTTACTGTCTCATTCTTTGTGGGTAACCCTGTATATATACAGGAGCGAAGAACTTTATTATATAGAATAATAAGAATTCAGGAAGTTTAGCAAATACACACACTTGAAAAATTTCTAAATCCAAATTTTCTCTTTTTTAAAACCTTGAGGGAACAACGTTTATTTCAACGTAGACGTAATGTCAAGTAACTCTCGAGTCTCAATCTACAGTCAATGTCCGACTCACAATGGTACCTTGAAAGCTATGTATGATATCCAGTATCTTCTAAATTAAAATTTTATCATTTTTAATTGTGGTTTCTCTCTGAAATAATTTTCGCATTTTGGCTTCAGAAACATCTGAAGAAACTTTCTGAATTGAACACTCTTTTTGATAAAACACGAAGATCTCTCTCATTATTGATCAAAAAGGTTAAAAAGCCAATTTACAAATGGAGATGCAATTGAAATTATGTAAACAGTCCTTTATAAATGAAAAAGCTTACCTTCGAGTTTTCTGCAGGTTTTTTAATTCCATACTTCTGTCTAATCGTCTCTCTCACCTTAACAATAAAAATAAAAAATGCCTAGAAAAATAATTGAAATGTTAAGGGATTAAATGACTCTAATCATATATTTTGAAGACTCAGAAATTTGGCCGGAAATGAGGATTTATTAAAGTAAATAACCATAGTCTTAGTTTGAAAAATATTTACGAAAATTTTTAATTACCCCTTGGTAACCGTTATTTTTTGCCTATTTTACAAATATACTTGTCTTATTCTTTTAACTAAGAATTTTGTTTTCCTGTTTGATAATATTATGTATTTCTTTTTTCTTTATTTTCCTGGCAAACTTTATCAAATGAAAAAGACGAAATAGAAAATAATTTTTATTTGTGAAATTTAATTAAAAACAGTTAATCTAATTGGAGACCACAGGGTTTTCAGTTTTCCAATAAAGTGTCAAAACACAAAAAAATGAAAATGTTTTATATTTTCTAAACCGCAAGATACAATAGATAAAAAGGATAGATAAGACATGCCGTCAATATCGTTCATTGTGGTTTAAGGGGGGGGGGGGTAAAGCAGTCCATAACACCCCCATGAGGAAAATGTGGGGATGCATCTTTTTTACACAATAACTTAGGGGAATGAGGGGAGTAATAGATATTTGTTTTTCAATGAATGGGCATAAACTTTATTCTTTTTTTTGGGTTGTAATTTCAACTTTTATTTGCATGAAANATAAACCTTCCCTGGGGTCCCTAGATGTCCCACAAAAAATTTGGGCCCGATCGGTTCAGCCGTTTTGACGTTTATTGGATACAAACAGACAGACACCCAAACAGACAAACAAACAAACAGACAAACAGACAAGCCAAATTTATATATATTCATTCATGAAGAAGTCTAGGGTTAGTAAGGTAAAATCAAATGCCAAGGCGTTGCGACACTTCAAAGTCGATCCAGTCTTGAATACTTTATTAGCTAAAGGGCCCGGCGTTTCCCGTGATAAAAAAAACAAAGCAAACAAATTAAAAAAAACGATTTTTTGTTGTTGCCTAAAACACCTCACGGCCAACCATGATTGTCAACAAATTTTTTTAGCCCATTCGGTCCAGCCGTTTGGCCGGCTATCGGTGACATATATACGACTGTTTTGTTTTATTATATAGATAGTGTCAATAATTATTATGTATGTTTTCATGGGTCCATATGATTCCATCTAATACTATCCCAAATGTTGATTGATTGACTGTAAACAATTGGAAGTATGATATTCAAGTTGTAGAAAAAATTCCATATTGCAGAATGTAAACTGCAAGGGAGTGTTTATTTTTCTGTATATCATAATTTATCTCTTATATTGATTAATGATAAATATCATCTTTTAACACCCCAAATGCAGTACACATTTCTGAAGTGCAGTACAAACTTTCCAAAGTTCACAATGACACGGAAAGTGTATTTTAATGCCCCTAAATGTACTTTCAACCCCAATCCCGTCTAGGATCAGAAATGGAATTATATATAAGGACCCCTGAAGTAAAAGTACTTCTTCTAACCAAATTTTTCATTATTTGATTAAATGCAAAACTTGTGATAAAAGTATATTTTATAGGATCAACTGCATACAGTAATATCAAATATATTATTAGATTTTTAAGATCAAATATTGAGATAGAGGTAACCCCAGAAGGGTATTAAAGGGAGTGACCGGCTATGTATTGTAGTTGAATGAGTATGCAGTATTGTGGACAATTTTTTTAGGATTCATTTGAGACATATAAAACTATTCTACGACGTAAATTTACTGAGTTTGATCGCAAAGTCAACTTTCAAAATCATCTTTTTGGGTAAATACGTTTTGAGAATCGTTTTTTTAATTATTAAATAACGACAACAAAAAATGTAACAAAATTCTTCAGTAACCTTATTAGTTGTTTAGGAACAGGTTGAGTAAATACATATTAACGCTTATCATCAAAAATAAGTAATCTTATTCAATTATTAGTTTTTTTTTCTCATTATTCACAAAGATTTTCTGAAATTTTTATTGAAAAGACAAAATTTGAAGAATTTGTAGAATTTGTGAACGAATTCTACCATTGATTTATTGACAAATTTCTTTTGAAAAATATGTTCCTAAACATCTTATTTGATTACTGTATAATTTTTACTTTATTTTTCGTCGTTGGTTTTTAATAATTCAAAAAAAAACCATTCTCAAAACGTTCACCCAAAAAGATGATTTTGAAAGTCGACTTTGCGATCAAACTCAGTGATTATACATCGTAGAAACGTTTCATATGTCTCAAATGAATCCTGAATAATTTGTCCAGAATACTGCATACTCAGTTCAACTACCATACATAGCCGGTCTCTCCCTTTAAAGCAAGTCTTAACTCTGTAAGTAAACCAGTTTTGCTACAAAATGTTTTCAAATAATACTTTTATTTTTGCATGAAATTAGTANCACTATAAAGAATTTTAAACGAAAGAAGAACTTTTGTCGAAATAACTTGCTAAGATGTCTGTACATTGTACACATATGTAGTGTAAAGTTAATTATTCTTAAGGCAAAGTTTTCAAGAGATTAAGTACATAATGGAGAATTCAAGACCCTCTCCATATATAATCTGTATTCTAACATGATATAGCTGCATCATTGCTTGGCCCTTTTCAGAGCTGAAAACTTTAGAATGATGGATATCAAGATTAATACTTAAACTTCTGGTTTTACTAAACCCGAGATTATTTTAATACGCATTCGATATCCAAAAAAGAAGTATAAAATTCAACCAGTCAGCGTCTGCGTATCATGTTAAGTTAATCTTTAACTTTTGAAAACCCGTTTTTTTCTGGTATTAATTGTGTCATATCATATCAATATAAGTTTTGGATTAATGTTTGTTAAGACTCGTTTAAAATGATGATAGTCCTAAAATGTGATAAATATATTTTTTAATAAGTTCATATTAATATGATTAAATTTATATTTGCTTAAATGCTCTAAAAGCCGGCTTGTGAACAGCTGACTTTAATTCAATCGGATATTAGTTAATCGATATAGCATTATATCTGTAATTGTTATCAAACTTAACTCTTATGCAGTGGGGATATCCAAAAAAAAGGATTAAGAATAAAATCAAAAGTGTGTACATTGGATACTCAGATTAAGCGATCAGGATTAAGGATATTCCATTCTAAAGTGTTCAGCTCCGGTTAACTAACTAATAATAATATGTATCTAAATTTTACTATTTCCATAGTTTTTCTGCAGAATTCTAGTTAGTTCCTATTGGGCCCTTGTAAAGGAACTGTAAAGATGAAAATTTCCGATTCACAGCAGTACCTTTAGAAGCTTTGTCTGATCAAGTATGAACCAGATATCAATGTTTATAGTTTTGAAAACGAATTATTTTTAATTGTGGGTTCTACACAAAAGTGACTCATGCGCATTTCTTCCGCAGCAAAACAAAGAGCAATTATCACAAAATTTGTCAAGCTAGGAAAACAACAATATCTTCCACATCTTTGATCAGATAAAGGCTTCAAGGATACCATTGTGAATCGAGCATTGTCATCTTACAGAGCCAAGTGCTGCATCTATTAAAAAAAACATTACAATCCACAAAAACTCTGAATGGAAAAAATTAAAAAAAAGACTCATGAAAAAAATATTCATTGATAGCAAACATTTTCAACCAATTTTCAGACGACATGTGCAGCGTTTTTCACCTTTTCAGACGACATGTGCAGCGTTTTTCACCTTTTCAGACGACATGTGCAGCGTTTTTCACCTTTTCAGACGACATGTGCAGCGTTTTTCACCTTTTCAGACGACATGTGCAGCGTTTTCTACCTTTTCAGACGACATGTGCAGCGTTTTTCACCTTTTCTCTTTGGTATTCTTCTTGTTGATGTCTCTTTCTTCTTTCCTCTTCAGCTTGTCGTTGTGCTTCCTTCCTTTTCTCTTCATCCTTAAATAAAATGTCAATTTCATGACATTTAATCAAAATTTCCATTTATGCGCAGAAATGAGTTTTTGTGAAAGTTTGCACGATGATACACTTTGTTTAAATTTTATTTAGTAAGAGTTAAAAAGTACACAATTTTAAACTGTGAAAACTGAAAAATATCTAAAATACAACGGCGACATTTCAGGGGAAACTAGTTCCAAAACTAACACTTGGCAATCTGCAAAGTTATCTTTTTCAAGCGTTTATATCTTTAAATTCAAGACTAATTGAACAAAAACACGTCATACATTTATTAAAAATGGCTAAAACTTTTTATTGAAACAGGAAATGTCAACTTTAAACTAATAGTAAGATATGATCATTAGGTTCTTATGTTATTGGTTTTCATTTTTGAACATATCCCTATTTTGAAAAGATTACCGCATTCAGCTCATGTCGCGTTTTTAGAACATATCCTGGTTTTGAGACAATTACTGAATTCATATCAATGTCAAGCATTTACGCACTTTTGATCAGGTAAAAAATTAACAAATAAGAAAACAAGAAAATGCCGTTTTTTATAATTTATAAATCATTACAGCATTGAGAAATTAAAATATTGATATAATTTGTTCTTACAATATAGATTTGACTTGTATCGCGGGAAGGTTGTTTATTTATAATTCGGGAAATTAAATCAATCTTATTCTCGTATTTAACATATAAAATAGGGAAATAAAGAGTTTAAAGTAATTTATCAGTTAGTTTAGTCTTGCAGAATAATTTTTACTTCCAGTGATTTATTTTGTAAGTTATAGAAGTGAGATTTGTTCTGAATTGAGTATTATAATAAAAAATGGGAAAGTGGGTTTTGTCTCGAAAACGCGACAATGATTCAAATTCAGGATATGTTCGAAAATGGAAAACCTGACATTGTCTTGAAAACGGCCAAGGGTTTTGATAAAAAGAACTCCTTTTATAATTTAGATTCAAGAGAAAATAGTTTTATATTAGGAATTGTTGTCCTCGTCCAGATTAATAAAATATTGGTTATTGTTTTTATTATCGACTTTATCTCTGGATATGGGTCGGGATCCCATATTGTGCATTTTGTGTCCATTTCTAACACTCAGTGTTAGAAATGGGCCAAGTGTTAGTTATGGAACTAATGTCCCCTGAAATTAAAGTGACCGTAGACTCAATTGCATGTGACTTTTTATATAAAGAATGGCATGTCTGATTTACAGTGGTACACTTTGAACCTCTATTAAAGGGACAGACCGGCTATGTAAGGTAGTTAAACTGAGTATGAAGTGTTGTGGACAAATACTTTAGGATTCATTTGAGACTTTTCCGCGATGTATAATTACCGAGTTTGAGTGCATAGTCGACATTAAAAATCATGAATTTGGTTGGGTACGTTTTCAGAATCTGTTTTTTTATAATTTTTAAATAACGACGACGAAAAATAAAGTGAAAATCATACAGTAAACTAATTAGACGGTTATGAACATATTTTTCAAAAGAAATTTGTCAATAGATAAATGCTAGAATCAATTATTTCGTTTTCATAATTATATTGAATTTCTTACTTTCTATGAATTTATTCGCAGATTTCTACAAATTCTTCAAATGTCGTCTTTTCTATAATAATTCCAGAGAATCTGCAGAAAATCTTTGAGAATAATTAGAAACTAGAATAGTGAGAAAAAAGACACTAATAATTGAACGACATTACTTATTTTCGATGATAAGATTAATTTTTATTTTCTCAACCTGTTCCTAAACAACTAATAAGTTTACTGTAGAATTTTGTTTACATTTTTTGTCGTGTTTAGTTATTTAATAATTAAAAAAAAAGTTTCTTATGTCTCAAATGAATCCTAAAGAATTTGTCCACAACACTGCATACTCATTTCAACTACCTTACATAGCCGGTCTGTCCCTTTAATAATAAAGAAGATATTGTCGTTTTTTTCTATCCTGTACAGTGAACAACATGATGAATTTTGACCATTTCCTTCATTGTCTCTCCCAGTCACTTTTATAGAGAAACCATAATTTGAAATAATTAATGTTGGGGTAAAGAAAACTAATGAAAACTAAAGAAATCTCATTTATACTTGAACAGACACAGGTTTAAATGGTACCATTGTGACTCGGAACATGTCATACAAAAATGGAGGGTAACTTGAAAATACGTGTACAGTCCCTTTACAGACAAGATATCGTGTACAGTCCCTTAACAGACAAGATATCGTGTACAGTCCCTTTACAGACAAGATATCGTGTACAGTCCCTTTACAGACAAGATATCGTGTACAGTCCCTTTACAGACAAGATATCGTTTATGAGATAAAGTAATCTGTCTTCAAACAAACTTTGCATTACATTTTTTTCATCATGAAAAATTTTGTATTGTGAAACTTCTGGAAAAACATAAAATAATAACTTAAATTTTGTGAATTGTCTTTTATTTAGCTTTTTACCCCCCCCCCCCCTCCTCCTCCTCATACCTTCCGTTCTTTTTGAGTAGGAGGTTCCTTTTTTGGTTCGTCTGATCCACCAAATCCGGTCAATTCTGAAAATTTTTAGATCAATTCCTAAACTTGAATACGGGAAATTATATAATATTCCAAGAATTTCTCCAGATGTGAAAGAGGCGTAAACCGGGGACAGAGTCTCGCACCCTCCCCCCTCGGCCCTCCTCCCCCCAACCCCTTCCTAGAAAGATAATGGATTTTAACCCTGCATTACATAAAGGCCTATAATAAATCACCTAATGGTCGAATTTTGTATATGTTACAAAATTATAATCCGACATCTTTCACTTTACAATTAATAACTCCAAACAAGATTAAAAGTTTATTTGGTGTAAATTATGAACGGACTTTTAGCTAAACTTACGATATATTTTACAAAGAATGTCTTACCTTTCAGATCTGTCAGTTTAGCCAACATTGCAAGCTTAGACGCCATTCTTGAAATGTATAAAAATTGTGTTTTCGGGAAATTCTTCAACACTTGATCTTTAATATCACAGACTGTAGAGTAGACTAGCACCAACCACTCCCAGGCCTTTTATAGATTCTACGCTTCTGAGAAATCTTAACGCTGCAATAATCTCACTCTAGTCGTCTATAGTTTCAGTATCACTTTACCACCACTGTAGCTTGATTTAACTAAAACTGGCTTGAATAATGCATATACCGCCTTCAGCTGATAAGAAGAATAATTGCGTAATTTCTTGTCATGCACAATAAATTCGTAGATTTGTTTTTCAATAGGTTTTGATACTTTTCTTATACAAAAGCTATGAAATTATCTCAATTCCTTGAGTAATTTAACGTTGAATGTCTTGTCAACTGTAAATTGAGGTTTTGAATATAACGAAAAAAGCTTCTATGATAATGTACGTCTGTTCAATTAAAAACTTGAGTTCAATTGGTCACTTTAACAGTTATGTAAATGTTAAACTGTTAATTCAAATAATTTTCACTATAATGTGTTACCCTGTGTAGTGCACACTATATAACTGTATGGAATCTGCGGGTCTAAACTATGAAGGTAGAGAAGGTAGAAGGTAGAAGGTCACCTGTTCTTCTCAGAGTGCGCTGTTGTATAGACTATTATACACTAAACATAGGTGTGACAACAACTCACAAGTACTTAAACTCAGGGTCTTTTCTGTTTTAAGAGGGGGCCGAGGGTTAGGGGAAAGGTACAACAACTTTGCAATAATAATGGAAAGATTGGTAAAATGTAGATATTTGTCAGGGGCGTATACATGATTTAAGATAGGTATGCATAATTTTGAGCTTAAAATCAGACATCTAAAGATTGCATTTTTTAGACATTAATTCTTTAAAAATCTTTATTTACTTTTCTCGTTAATATCTCTTCCCTTCTTTCTTGTTTTTTCTGTAAATGATGGTTTAAAATGAAAAGTTCTCTTGGAAATTTCTAAACAACATAAAAACTTTTTTTTAAATTTTCACACCTCCACAATATGGTTCATAATTCTAACGTTAACAGATTCAATTATTTAATTTCGTTTTTTAAGTTAATCAGTTTATAGTTTTTTTTCTCATCGTTTTAATCAAGTTATGAGTTTTAATTTTAATACATCAAACATATTTTTCTTAAATGTCTTTTTATAAAAATTTTAATGTTAACAATCGGTAGTTCTTTGTAGTTATTGTTATTGTTTTCAGTTGGGGTTGCTTTGCTCAGAAAAAGTTTTGTGCGGATCAATATTCTATAGAATATTTTTTCTATTTCACAGACAGGGGCGGATACAGGATTTAAGTAAAGGGGGGTGCTAGATTTATTTCGGAACAAAAAATCTATATTTATGAACCAAAAGACGCGCTATAGGCCAATTTTTTTTTAATATAGATATTTTTTTCTGTTTGCGCTAGTTTTTTTTTGCTATTGAGAAGCTATTCTGAAATGTTAGGGGGGGGGGTGCAAAGGTCCTGTCGCCCCCCTTGCATCAACCCGTCACAGATTTAATTATTAAGTTTCTGTTTAAAGGGACAGCTGGCATGATTTTAAGATACCCTTGACGATTCACAACGGTAGTTCCTCGAAGGATAAATTATAAGATGATGTTCATGGACATCTATAATTTCTTACAGTGGGTTCTCAATAAAGGGGAAAATTAACAGTATTAAACACTTTTTTTAGTTGATGATATCTTCCTCAAACATGGTTTGGAAATATCATAAACTTCATTTGAAATCGTTCAAACTTCAATTGAAAAAGAAATTGTTTATATCTGAAAATTCAAACACTAGGGAGTGTTATTTCATAATTTCAACAATTTTCCTTTTCAGATTAGGGTGACTAATAATGCAGCAAATTGAAAGATCAAAGACAGCCTTCAAATCGTCTCATAACCATATTTCTAGGGACAACCTATAATTATGTCTTTTTTTGCGTTATTATTAAATAAGGTTTCCAACAAAATTTAGATGTTTTTCAATGAACTTTAAAACTTTTCATTGAAAGTAAAATTTAACATTATGAAACGAGATGATCCACGCTCTCCACGCACCCCGGACCCTTTAGTAAAAGTAAATTCAACCTAATGTCTGACCGCGTCAACCTTGTTGCACCGGCTAGTCCTAGTGAGTGTCTGCTTTATTTACCCAATGTCCGGGCGATACAGTACAAACTGTGACCGGAAAGGTTGACCCGGCTCGGAAATTCAATGTACTACAGCTGCCCGTGGATCGGGATGAAAGATTTCAACACAACAACATACTTAGATCACAAGAACCATACAAAAGATATATTTTAAGAATTAAAAATCTCAGCAATTTTTCTCTAATTTGTAATTTAGGCAATACAATTAACAAATTGTTTATTTTTCTATTTGCATATTACCTGCATTCCCTTTTGGATCTATAATATCAGATTTAAAGCGGTTCGTAATCGTATGAATGCAGAATTTGTATAATAAATGGTTTATCACAGTTTTCTGCATTTCTATTTTCAGATTAAGTTCAGCTTATTCTGTCTACTGTCGAACCTTGAATAAAATAAAATATTTCATTTCTATATTGTTAGAAACATTAAAGTTTATTAAATATGCAAACGTATTTTCTATAGATTGTTAGTATTTGTAAATACTGTTGTTCAAACAACTGATGCGTGGGTGTTAATTAAATATGAGGACTTTAAAATGACTAAGTTTCATGATCGATATGAATTTTGGGTAAAATTTCCATCTGAACAGTTTCATATAGTGATAACCAGAAACTGTGGAATAGAAAGACGGCATTTTAGCATTACTGAAATAAATTTAATGTTGTTACAAAGCAAATGGCTTTACCTATTAAGTTAAATCACTTATTAAGTGAAATGGGTCTATTTACACTGCAGCACAATGGCTGCGCCTCATGTTTATTGGACTATTTCAAGTCATAACTTAAGTCTATAAGTTGACTGCCTATTCTGGTTATCACTTTACTTGGACTTAAATTTCATTTGAACTATTCTGCAACGACTGCTATATTAAAACTTCGCGAAAATGGTTTATCGAAAATTTTCGCAAAAGTGACCGAAATTTTCTTTTTCGTAGATCCAATTTCAAATGGTTGAGCAAAATTTCGTGATAGAGGATGAACGAAATTTTTAAACCCTAATATCAACGAAACATAATAAACTTTTGCTTGAGGTTGGATTTTGTCGTAAAGAGGAGATATTCGTGTAAAAGAGTTCTTACCAAAAGTGAACTGAAAGGTTTATAACAAAGGAATACATAAACTTTCCTGAATATGCTAATATATATATGTAAATTGTACTCAGTAAAAAAGCTTGATGGGGGGGGGGGCAGGTGAAACATTCCCCCTTTTTGTATTTTAATGTTGGGCCGAAACACTCAAAATATCAAGAAATCAATGCATTCTTCAAAAAATTTTTTTCATAAAAAACATACAGTGGAAGGCGATTATATCAATGCAATGAAGACGACTTTCGATTTCAATTTTGATTTATATCAAGCTGTTAAACAGCATGGATACACAAAAAAAACAAAAAACTTTTCGTTGATTACTTGTAAACTTGTAATAAAAAAGTTTAACAATCAAAACTTTTAAAACAATGTCGTCTTCATTGTACTACTGCCCTTATCAACATTTTTACTCTTTTTGAATAGCTAAGGGGGAGTTGAGATGATTTATCAGAAATTAGATAAAAGTAGAGAATAAAGTATTCTTTTATGTGTTTTCGACATTTTATTTTTTAGCTATGTCAACAAATTATTCTATCATGATTGTAAATAAAGTTTGCAATGGTTAAATAAAAAATTGCACTATTCTTAAAACGCTTCTTTACCAAAACCGAGGAGGAAAATTCATCAAATGCTTAACATTTTTACATTTATCTAGTCCATCAATTAATTATTTTTTCTTTCGATATAGCCAATGCTATACAAAGCCAATATTAATTTACATATCTGATATTTCTGAGATTTTGTTATCATATGTCTGATTCTGAATAGAGCGAATAGCATATTCAGCCAGCAAACTTGTATTCTTACTTAAAACTAAACAGAGCGAACATCTTATCCAGTAAACCGTATAATTTTACTTTTAAACTGTAGTGTCTGGCATTATCAATCCATCTTATCTAATTGCAGGCATATCTAAATATTTTATCAATTTTAGAGAATCTAAATTACTTGCCATGAACCTTACATAATCCACGCTACATATCGTCATACTCATATGCCATTTAAATACTGATATTAGACCAATTCAAATTAAATCCAAGTTATTTCAATTTTATATTTGATAAATTTGATACAAAGTCAATATGTGCCTTCAATTTCCAAATCTGTTATTTCTGACCTCTTAGCTTTGTATCTAATAATATGCTGAATATAGCGAACAGCATATTCATCAAGTTATTCATTAGTTATAGAAGTATATTCTTTTTAACTAAATTTATATTGTAATAATCTTGTTATACTGAAATTAAGTGTTTGATAAGAATATTAACTCTGAACGATGGACACTAAACACTGAACACTGAACAATGAACACTGCACACGGAACACTGAACACTAAACACTGAACACTGAACACAACACTAAACACTGAACACGTTGAACACTGAACACTGAACACTGAACACTAAACTAAACACGTTGAACACTGAACACTGAACACTGAAAACTGTACACTGTACACTGAACACTAACACTGCACACGTTGAACACTGAACACGTTGAACACGTTGAACACTGAACACTGAACACCGAACACCGAACACCGAACACCGAACACCGAACACAGAACACTGAACAGTGCACAGCCAGATAAATCTATTTTGAACAAAACTTGTCAATGGTTTATTTAAATATATATATATATATATGTTTTTCCGATCATAACTCAGGAACCCCTGAACCGATTTGCCTCAAATTTTGATTGGGGAACTTGGGAGGCTCACGGTAATGTTCTTAGCTTGATTTTGAGATTCTAAGTCGAGTGGGTCGACTTTAATAGAAAAAATTTAGTTTTCCGGTAAAATCGTTCGAGTGCGGGTAAACGGCGAGAGTAACTTTTAGTAACCTTGACAGCGCAGGGTTCTCAAGCTAGTACATGCATTGTTAAGGAACAGTGAAGATTAACAAATTGTTAAAATTCAAGGGCGATACAAGTACATATGGCGAAAAACTAACAAGAGCTGAGCTGTATCAAAATAAATTTATTCAAGATTCATGAAACAAAACTTGATTAACCATCTTGATATTTTTTATTTACAGCAAAACCAAAATGAGACCCTCACCCTAATTTATATCAGAACACTTAAATTGGACTAAATGGTACACATATTTTTGTTTTAGCAAACTATTTATTTTTATTTGAGGTTTCTTGAGCATATCTTGCTTCAGAAACAATGAAACACTTATCAAATTAAACACTTTTTAAAACAGAAAAACGAAAATTTCTCTCATATTACTGATGCTAATAAGGTTTCAAAGGTCTAGTTGTGCATCTGGCATGCCCTCTTAAAATGGAGGATCACTTAAAATTATTACAACATTCCCTTTAACACATTTGTTTTAAATCTGCGCGATCTGTGCAGTATCAAATCTAAAGGAATAATGATTATATTTTAAACTTTCTTAAAATAGTGAACATTCTAAAATTTTCTTTTTTCATGCAATGATTTGAGGTTATTCTCCTTTATATTGTATGTTGTATTCTGATATACATCAAGTAGTTTCGAGAAAGGAGTATGGATGATTAGGTGTATAAGATGCCAATTCTACAACATGTAAGGGAACCAGAAGCAAGAAATAATCTTTCATTTTCACAACAATTTCTTATCAAATAATGGATCCAAAAAGTAGTATGGACTTGAAAAAGGACTGAAAGTACAAGGCTAATCTGTATTTACATGTTAACTATACAAACTTCAGATCAAATAATAAATTATATCTTATAGAACACAACATTCGCCAATTTTGTATCAGTTTCCTTTTATTTTCGAAACAAGATTTTCTTCTTCTGAAAAATAAAACTGCAAAGATTTACAATTTTCAAAAATGAAATATTGAAGGGTGTGCTCAGTTAGGGTGATATTTTACGTAACCCAAGAAAAAGTAGAGAAAATTTCACCTCTTATATGGGTTTCAGGATATAATTATGTTCACCATAGATTGAAAAGAGGCCTCCCATGGGCAAAAAATATATTATATTGCTCAGAATGGTTGAGTTGAACTAAACTAAATCTTATATTTAAGGTGCACTGTACTTCTTTTTCTTGATCAATAATTTCATTTTTTCTTCTTACATCATAAAGTAAAAAAATCTGCAGATTACCCCTTTTTAATTAGTAGATTTCAGGTTCTAAAAACAGAATGCAGCGAAAAAAAGACATTTAAATAAATTGTGTAAAGTCGTCTTTGAAGTCTCGTCCTTTGTGGGTATACCTGTACTCCAAATTATGAAAAGATGTATGTTTACTGTTGCCAACATGTCTAGAGATTGGCTGAAGATGAATTGAGACCAATGTATGGGAGGGGGACGGAGATAGAAAATCCANGGCGGGTTTAGAGTGGGGAGAGGGCCGAGGGGGATGGGTTCAGGTGATCAAATAAAAAAAATCTTTCAATTATTTCTAGATGATTTAGAACACATTCCTGATTTAAAATATGTTCTCGACTTAGAAAGCGTTCCTGATTTTAAACGTTCTTTTCAAATATTTCCGTTCCGTTCCTTTACAAATCGTTTCGTTCCAACATTTTTAAGAACGCGTTCTATGCATTTGTTCTTGATCGTTCCGTTCGTTCTTCTGAAAGAACGATCATTCCCCAGGAACGAGGCCCAGCCCTATCTATACTTATATATTCTCTATGTCCAAGAAACAGTATCAAGAAGACGTAAATGTCGTCTTTGATCTTTGCGGTATTTATTTGTAAACCTAATTCAACAAGTAGAATTCTAATATTAATTTAAAAAAAGTATCCCAAGTCTTCGCATTTCCAAAATGTAGTCTGCCCTTTGAGCTTTCAATATTACAGGAGAATAAGAGAATAAGAAGATTTCTTATAAATTCCTTAAATTTCGACAATTTTAGTTTTACTTGATAAAATTAAAATCTGAACGAAATTCTCAATATCTTCAGGAATATGGAGAGCACAAAAAGGTGGACCACATTTTGGAAACGTCAGGACTAGATGAACTTTGTGGTTTTTGTTTCAAGAACATTACGTATTATAGGTTGAAGACTGAATGACTGTAAATCCGTGGAATTAAGACTATCTAATTTATTGAAAAAAATCTTTTATTCACATAAATTTTAATTTGAAATCAGTTAAACCAATAGAGTTTAGAAATAATATGACTACCATATATTTTTTGTATTTCTGTTTGGTATCAAACACGTTAACAAACTCGGGAAGAAGACATTCTAAACTTTTCACAAACTGTCATGTTTTGTGGGACACCTTGTGCATATATGGAGAACAGTTCAATGAAGGTTACAACAATTGAAAGATGAATAAAAGTATTCCAAGGCCGACATAATATTCTATTCAGTGTTTCAAGATTTGAGCCGGCGTTCAATTTAAACAGGTTTTTGGCGGTTCAGCGACGCGTCGTGGTTTAAATTAGGCCTCTGTTCTCCATATATTCAATCTTTTTGTGAATATTTCGAATTTGTGAAGACGACTTTAGAAACTGGTTTACAACTTTGACTGAGAGCTTTTAACTGTTAGTTAAATTCATTTAGCGCAAACTTTTTACGAGATAAAATAATGTTATCGGAAATTGCGCTGATTTCGTAAAATGTTGCTAAAAATACTACCTTTGTATATCTCTGTATCTACATAATAATACGGCTGGAACGATTGGACTGAAATTTTTGTGGAGACTCATGAGTGGCCGGGGGGTGTTATAGTCTAACAAAAGAATCTTTTTTGAAATATTGCTATATATAAGAACTAAGAAGTAAATTGCGCATTTTAGCATAAGGAAAACCATTGAGAAGTAAAAAGAATCAATACTTTTAAAGCAAAAAGGCGACGTTAGCTTTCGCATTAAATTGATCAGATGTAAGTTTCAAAGATACTATTGTGAATCTGAAATGTTTCTCTTTTTAAACGGCGGGTAACTAGAAATTATGCTTAAAGTCTGTAATTAGTCCTTTTCTCATTATAAATGCTTCAGCAAAACCTTTTTGAGTGATCAAATTACGGTGATAGGAGTTTATACCAATACAGCGAAGACGACTTTTATACTTAGGTTGATTTCTAACAAGCTTTCTACAAATTACAAGTTAGCAAGTAAACGTTTTAAATACTCTTTTAATTAAAAGCTACGTTTTAAAAAATTGTATACGTATCTAAACTGTTAAAGCTTGGTAAAAATAAAATTGAAATATAAAGTGGTCTTTAATGTATTGATATATACGTCGATGACTGAACAAGAAAGGAAGATTTGTTTAAGGACATAATCTATTTCAGATAAACATACATCTTTTATCAATTCACAATTAAATTATTCATAAGCGAAAAATATCATAACAAAAAACAAACCGACACTAGTTGCTGTACAATTTATGGGACTTATTTTCTTTCAGTCATTAACATGTAGCAACATGTTACGGAGATGAGAACAAATATTATTTAATCATGAACCTGGAACGGCTTGGTTTTTGCTACGTTAGTTTCTACTGGTATATTATACAGGGAGTGGCAGTAAACAAAGGAATAAAGCGACCAATTTCTTATTTATGGAATAACCAAATTTTTTCGGACACTAAACTTAGTTTGATGATTCCATTTATTTGTAATTTAAAGAAATAAATTTTGACCGTCAATGTCATACTTTTATTTAAAATCTAGAACTTCAGCAAACAAATTTATACTGTTTTAGTATAGTCACGAGATTCTAATGTTTATTGCAAATCCCTGTATATTAAATATATAATCAGATAAGAGTTTAACTCAATATTTAATTCAAGGGGGGGGGGGGGCTTCGTTGAGAATATCAGTCTTAAACATAAACGATAAGGTTGGAAGGGGGAGGGGGTGATACGTCAAATTTACCCTTTTAAGAGATTCGAAAATCACCAAATAAAATAATACTTTCTAGTTTTTATACATTTCGTCAATCCAATTTACGACTTCGGCTGATTTGAAAAAAAGAAATAATTTAAATCTATGAAATATTTTTTTGTTCCGAGGAGTTTTACAGCTTTGGTCATATAATAAATATGTTTCAACGGTTCACGCAAACGATTTTACTAATTTCATTTAAAGTTACGTTTCAAAAATATTTTAATCTTACGAGAAAAAAGAGTGAGAGCACTTTAAAGATATTTAGTTTAAATTTATATTTATTCAGAATTGAAGAAAATTAGACAGAGAAGCAGTGTTTACAATCCGGATCCAAGGAAAAAAATATCAACCCAAAAAACTTTCGGTCTCATAACGAAATCCTTTCAACTAAGAAATATCTAAATGATTCATCAAGTTTCAGCGAAAAAAAATGTTCATACAAAAAAAAATATCTTTAAGACCTGAATCCAGACAAATTTTTTCTTCTGACTAATCCGCATCTAAAATCAATGGATCATAAGGGCACTGCTAAAAAAGTAAGATGAATACCCCCCCCCCCCACAGTATTTTTTTATTAAACCAACTTTTATCTTGGTTCTTCAGAATTATATTTTCTTTTATCTTTAAGAGAAAGTCCTTAATTGGATTAAGTCTCAATGTCAGCTAACCTGAATCTTATCCTAATAAGAAAAAACAAGTATTTTAAGCATAAATAATTTAAATTTAGAGGAAAACCCTTGATATAATAAAATTGTTAGAAATCTTAATTTTGATAATATTAATTTTGGCTGAAGGAATTCATGTCAAAACATTCTTTTTATACTTCTCTGTCAAATACTCTTACAATTCATTTCTAAAAAAACGACATGTAGCCGACAATCGAAGACATGTTGTCGACAAAAGAAAGTATGTTGCCGACAAACAATGACCCGTTGCCGACAATAAACGACATTTTAACGATGCCGACAAAAGAAGATATTTGTATTTGCTCAGGATTTTAAATGGAGGATAAAAAAAGAGCTGGGTACGAAAAAGGGCCATAGTGACTGATGAGGTATTGATATTAATTTCAATAAAATATATTTTATAAGAGTGAATTTCTAAACGTTAGATAAAGCTACCCAGCTCTAGATACCCTCAGTAGGAAAGTTCTAAATTCTAATTCATGCAAACAGGTTTAATATATCCTGCAAGAACATTGAAACACGCGTTATGGATTCTATTGCACGTGTTATAGGTTTAGTGTTCGTAAACTTAGTTCTTCTTACGTGAAAAAGAATTTTATCACATGGTTTAAGAATAGATATTGTATTTAATTCATGCATTAAATTATCCAGTTAGTCTTAGTTCCTGATTCACATATCCCAGGAACATCTGTTCCTGTAACCATGGAACTCTGGATCCTACAACACGTGCACCAGATCCGTAAACACAAGTCCAAGATGTTAAAACACGTGTTCTAGTTTGGACAAACTTGTTTGGGTCGCTTGGGTCGATTTCCCTGAAAAAAGAGCAATTTATTAGTTCTGGCCTTAAAAAAAAAAAAAAAATTATTGATGAAAAATAACATTTTTTCAATTTAAATAAGAACAATGAAAATTTAAAAAAATTAGAAATTAACAAGGAATTAATTTCGAATCAAGGAAGTAATTTCGACGGAAGAAGGGCATTTCCGATTCACATCGGTACCCTTTCGTCTGTGCAAAAAATAAGGAAGATATTCTAGCTTTATAAATAAAAAAATTACTAAGATGCAGGTTTCTATGCGAAGAAAAAGAGAAGCAAATTTAAGAATGTGAAACACCATTATTTTGCTTAAATACTGTGCATTGGTTCTCGGATCGATCAGGATCAGGATTTAAAGGTGCCGTTGTGAAGTGGCTTGTAACTCATAAATTGATTGAATGGCTAAAATATGTTATTGGTCACTTAATTAATCGATAAAATACAAAAAGTTTGTAGCGAGGGGGTTTTTACTTTTTAAGCATAGCAAATCCCCATGAATTATTTTTTAAAAGTTGTGGGGGGGGGAGGGAAATGAAAAATTAAGAATAAATTTCCCTCATTTTTACCCAAAAATCAATAAAATTTTCCCGTTTCAGCGAAAAAACCCCTAAAGAAGAAACATGCCAAAGTTATGAGAAAAATAAATGATTTTTCAAGAAAACATAAACCCCTGAACACCTCCTATTTACCTTGATGATGTGGTGTCCTCTAGTACACTTCTTCTCCTCCTCATCCCTAGACCTTCTCTTCCGAACCCCTGATGGTCCAGGGGACCCTGGACCAGGGGACCGGGGACTCCCAGGGGACCGGGGACGTCCTCGTGTATATCCAGGAGAGCCTGGACCTGTTTTCAGGTACCCTACGTCCTCTTCAGTCTATAAAAAAGGAAAGTAAAAAATTTTTTAAAAAAGACTTAAAATTTACTTTTAAGATAAAATTTTCTTAATATTCAGAATTTTTCCCCTTTCCGTTTCGTTTACTATGTTTTAGTTGCTAAAAAACAGAGAGATAAAGGAATGTGGGATTTCGAAGAGTGTTGCGGAGATTGGCCGGGATTTTATACTTAAGTTTGTAATTTGTTACCTTGGAAATTTTTTGTATATTTGTAGAGTTAATGTGACGGAAATATTGTACTGGTGGTGCGCAGTAGAGGGTCGTTGAACTCTCTCCACCTTTAACGCGCGCGCACATCAAAAAGTCGTCATGACGAAAATAAAAGGTTTTAATCCATGAAAGTTTTGGAACCGATGGTTTAGTTTATTTTCAAGTTGAGTGTGCGCTTTCCTATGCTCTGTGCTCTGTATCCTGAGCAAGTTTTGTATCCTGCAGGTGCTGCCCTGTATCCTGGACTACTGTATCCTGTATCAGGTACCGTAGCCCTGTATCCAGGACTCTGCCCTGTGTATCCAGACTCAGGATTCAACCAATCCTCGACCATTGCTTGTTTATCAACTCCCTCCATGCTCGGAAAACTTACCTTTAAACAAGAATGATGAAAAGAAGAGTTAACAAAAAAATAAGGTGAATTCGTGTGAGGGGAATCAACTCCAATAGCCCCCCCCCCCTTGTATACTAGGGTGGGCCAATTTCGAATCCAAGTTTAGGTTCCAAATTTGTATACCTGCACAAGATATTCTAACTTCGATATCTTAAATTCTAGCAAATGGCTGGCTGAAAGCCATTTAAAGGATTATGATAATAGACAAATGTCGCTAGTAGACCAAATATAAATTTTTAAAACTTTTATAGATATGCGTATCAAAGATGTATTTCAAGCCGCTGAGTACTACATCCACAATTATATTTTTGAATAGTTTGATTTTTCGCCAAAAATACAAGACTTTTGCCAATTTCCTTAAAACCAAATCAGTTTTTTGTCTTATTGTTTTTTTTTTACGAATCTTTTGATTTATGAGGATTTAAACCAAAAATTAAACAACAAGTCGAAGTTAAGATATCAAAAATAATATACTGATCGTTTAAATTTTTAACGATTTTGACGCAAAATATAATTTTTAGGTCCAAAAAGAACGCAAAAATGATTCAAAACGACTAGATGATTGATACGTCATTTCAGAAACATAACTACTATGAAAGACGCAATAACCTGGTCGGTGTTGGCTGAATCCGAGGCTTGATCAGTCAGACTAGATCCACAGTTTTGACAGTGTTGTTGCAAATGAGCCCTGGAATTAATTATTAGTTATAAATATTAAACTTTAAGTAAAAAAGAATCTGTAAAGGGCCCCACAATCCATTCCTGGTCAGACCAAGCATTTATTGCCGTTTTAAATCGGACATTGCCATCTTTTCATGAAGGGTCCTTTAAAACTACGCGTACTGTCCCTTTAAACCCACCTGGATCTGTAGAATTGAAGTTCAGTCTTACACTTGTTTAACTCTGTGAGTAATGTTCCAAATTTCCTGGAATTTTCCTCGAACTTCTTGTCATACTCGTCCAGCCTACTGCTGTACTCGGCAACCTGCTTAGTCTGGGAGTCCATCTTGCTCTTACATGACTTAAGTTCCCTGAGACATTTAACTTTATATTTTCTTTCATTAAAAACTTACCAAAAGACAACTTTTTTCATTCTTTTTGACATTTTTACTCAAACATTCAGTTTCAAAAAGGGGAATAAAATGATTTTACGCAAAAAATATACACCCCTGTATCGATTTTATATCCATTTTTAATCCTTCAGATGATGTGAAAATTCTATTTATTGTGTAGAATAAATGATGCAAATTGATTAAAACGTTATTTTACTTTCTTAAATTATTTTCTAATCTTAATTCGATAAAAAAGTAAAATTTAAGCTAGCCATCTCTCTGAAAATGTTAAAATTGGGTTGTTTAGGCAAATTGATAAAATAAGTTAACAGATTTTTCTTTTAATATAATTTTGCTCTGTCCTCTGTAATAAAGATTAAATATTTACTATTATATCACAGAAGATGTTTCTTGTAAATAACGCTAGTTGGTGACAAATAAAATAATAAAAATAAAATATAAATGCTTTCATGCACAACAAAGTTCATTAATTTATTGATCAAACCTCTTGACTTCGTCCAACTGTGTATTGTACTTCTTCATCCCTGCTCTGATCCTCTTAATCCTCTTCCTGAGCACCATGTTGCTCTGGGGGGCTTCACCTCCTTCACCAACATCTACTCCTTCAACTTCATCCAAGTCACCTTCAACTAAAATACAATGTTAAAGTTGAACTCTAAATTCTTCAGACGTCGAATTTTTTAAATGAAAATTCGATTTCATTATCGGAAACTTTAAATTTCATGCGAAAAAGTAAATTTGTAAAAAAACAGCTAATTCATATTTTAGCGATCTCTCAATTGAAAAATTAATTACACAAAATTTTCCTATTTTAAAATCAGTCATTTTCCTTCAGCAATTGTAAATTGTACAAATACATTAATTGCAAATTTCTTCTAAATTCAAGTACCCAAAGCTTATAGCAACATTCGACTTTAATTGTTGTTCTGAAAGTCGCAATTTTCAGCCATTCTAAATTTTCGCAAACTTCAATTTAAATTGTCGCATTTACAATTTTTTTATTTTTACGGTCATATGGCCGTGGGATGTCATAAAAGTTTTGAGTCGATCAGTTCGGACTTACATTGGGAGAAAGAGAGTGGGGGCTCGGAGCAGGAAGATCCCACGGCACTTGCACGGCTCGACATTGGCGAGTCCACCCCTCCTCCACCACCACCGGACACGCATCCTTAAATATGGAATTTTTAAAATAAATTTTTAATGAACAAATAAATACTTTAACTAATATTTAAATTCTCGCATGATTTACAAATTAAAAGCTGGGCATTATGATCAATATCTTGATTTTAATGTCAATATATTGTGTGCCCACGCACATCGAGCTAACAGCGTAGTTCGTTGAACAAGCCATTATTTTTTTTGGAAAAATTATATCTTTATTGGGAAGAATTTTGCGAGCCACCCTAATTGTTTCTTTTGTCTTTATGTCTTATTGATTAAAACGAGGTTTAATCGTCTTTTAACGCAATATTCCCTCTACTTAACTCCTGACCTTCCGACTTGCTGCAATATCCGATACATAGCAGCTGTTTTTGTATTTTTTTACTTCATTATTTAAAGGTAAGTTATGTTAAACTATTTCCGGGCCGAGCGCTGCAGCTAGGACAGGATAGGAGGCCAAACGTCGAGGCTTAGGGGCCAGACGCAGCGGTCGCTAGTCTAACTAGCAACTGTAAAAGCATGTGCGAGTATGTCAGAAGTTATGAAGTATAACGGAAGTCCGTGGATCGGAAGATACACCATCGTAAAAACAAATACCTGATCTATTATACTTCTTAAGTGGGGAAGGTGGAGTAAAATCCAGGAAATCTTGTCCAAAGTACGTAATCTCAGGGAGAGACGACTCAATGTTTTCCTACAAAAAAACCGCATAAAATCTAGGAGTGCCAAGAATCCGGATAAAATAACATAACTTCTAGAGTCTAGACGTATCTGTAACTTGTCCAGAAATTGTGTCAAATTGGTCTCAGAAACCTGTTATAGAAACCTTAACTGGATCCCCACTTGCGAATAGTGAAGAAAAAAAAAACAGAAATAAATCTAGACAATAAAGCTCTTCGTTAATATATATAATTGTAATTTGTATGTGTAGCTAGCTATAGCTGGCCAAACGACTGTACCACATTGACTGATTTTTTCAGGGAACCCATGGGTGCCAGGGGGGGATGACATAGCCAATTTTTTCTTTTTAAAATTCAAATTTTTCAAGTGTTTTTTAAAATTCACTGGCAACACCGGGCACTTCACCTAGTATACTTACTTAATAAATAAATAATAAATAATTAATAAATAAAATGAATGTTGGAATCTCTGACATTTTCTACCTTGAAGTACTCCATTGCCATTGTGGAAAGATCAAATAGTTCATCAGTAACTTTGTACGCTCTGCCCAAGGGAAGAGTGGTGCTTTGTATATATCTCAGGATTCGAAATACTTCGTCGAGAATCTGAAATAGAATAAAGATATTCGTGAGCTTTTTTCTTTCAATTGTTAATTGTTAATTCTTTCAGTTGTTACTTGTTAGTTGTTTAAATTTTTCAATTTCAAGCATAAGATTTGAAATCTTAGAACTATGTAAATCATAACTTTTTATAAAAGATTTAAATTATAACTTTTTATAAAAGATTTAAATTATAACTTTTTATAAAAGATTTAAATCATAACTTTTTCCAAATGATTTAATATGTTATCTTTATAACTAAATGGAAATTATTTTAACACCTACAGTACATTTTATAAACTTGAAACCAGATTGTATGTCTAGCCAAAAAGCTATGCTTATACGAATTAAACAAAGTTAATTGGTAAGATTTATTAGTTGTGTTTCTTATACGAATAATTATAATATTTTAATATGTTTAAAAAGCGTTAACAATCCGTTTTAGTACATTTGATTGTTACAAATGAATAATATTAGCTGTACCTCTCCTGGAAAGAAGCATATATGCTTGCGCTCAATATGCTTCCCAAAGGTCATCTGTAGCAGAGTAAGGCGCATGTGAAGAGTCTCCACTATGTCGCACTCCCGGGACAACGGGTGATTCCGACGCGCGCTCTCACGACGAGGCATTTGTCCCTAGGTGGAAATAATTTTTTAAAAAATAAAAACAGGCATGTAGCAGTGCTTAGGATCCATTTAATTTTTATGCGGAACCGGATTTAGGTCAAATACATTTTTTTAAAAGATTTACTTTTTTACAAACCAAAATGATCATTGATCAACCTTGTTTCTTCTTTTTTACTTATTTTTATTTTATTTTACAGAGATTAAGAAGTGTTGAAAAATCACTCGTTTTTTAACACATAGTTCAGATTTGTGTTTCAGGAGCAAAAACTTCATTTTTCCTCTTGGATGGAATTTATTACATAAATTTCATTCTCTATCGTTATAAGGTTAATACATAATTTTCCAATAACAAATTACTCGGATTCTCACAATATTCCTTTAAGATTCAGTCAGAGGCGGATAGAGGAAATTAATTGTTCCAATGCTTAACCCTGTATTAAATCCAGTTGACTGATTGAACCTTTATGATCTGAAAGCGTCCCAGCATCCTGTTTTGAAGTTGTTGGAAGATCGAATTAAGACGACCAGCTGCAATCTCGTTTAATCTCCGGCACACCTACAATTAATTATATAATAAAGAGGTTATATTTTCTAGAAAAATGATTCTCTTCCTTTGAAAATATCTTTTCTCTCTCTGAAGGTAGGTATGTTTACTGTTTAAGGTTTGATTAGCTGGATAGAGGAAAATAAATATATTAATGGGTTAAGAAGATGAAACAATTTGCCTTTTGACGTCTAATTTTTTTCTTATTTCCCCCACAGATCCCATATCTTTAATAGTCATTCTGATATGTTATTGGGGTAAAAAGTAGCTTGGAACCAGAAAAACCATCCAGGTTCAGCCCCCTCTTCCCCAAACCATCCCGATTCAGCACCCTCCCCACCAAACCATCCAGATTCAGCCCCCTCCCCCCCCAAAAAAAAAATTCACTTAGGAAACCCGGTTGCGATGGTTTCTTTTATTTTTATATTTATTTCCTGACTTACCCGTCGAACTGTTGCGTGTTCCTTAAATGAAATATATTCTAAAATCTTGTTCAGGATCTCTGCTGGTAGCTCCAGAAGGGAGTGGTGCTCCCTCCCCCTGGTGTAGGTGGCCCTCAAACATCTTGCCTCCCCCTCACAGTCCCCCTTCTTCGTGCAGTGGGTTCGGGTATGTGGACGCATTCTGAGGAAAAGAATGAATAAAAAACTTGTTCAATCCCAGACTTTTTTTTGATTTTCAGTTTGTTTTGATTTAATCATTCCCCCCCCCCTTTCAAAACCTTTCTCTTGCTAACAAACTCTGGTAACGTACCTTTGTAAATGGATCAGTTACAAATTGTTAGTTTTTTTGTCTTTGTTTTCACTTTAATTCGATTTTTCTTTATTTTATTCATCGTTCTAAATTTTCATATTTTCTAAGCATATCCTGCTTATCGATAGTTATTAGGAGAATAATTATTAATAAATGATCAATGATCATGTGAGTTCTCAAGGGAACGACAATGATAATTTCTAAGGAAATGATCATGAGTATTAACAAGCGAAGGAGAACTACGAATTAAGGCGAAACTAATGAGAATCATCAAGGGAATGATCATGAGTTATTAATAGAAAAACCACGAAAATAATCAAATGGATGATCACGAGAATCATCAGGTGAAAAACCATGAGACATATTTTATTGAGGCATGATCAGAATGGTCACAAGATTTATAAGGAAATGCGCACAATGGGAATTAGACAATGGTCAAGGATTGATTATGAGAATTTTTAAGGTAACGTTTGAGAATTTCAAGCGGTCGATTTAACATTAACATTATCAAGTAAAATATTAGAGGAAGGATCATATAAATAACTTAATTTTTTTTGTTGGCAATTTCAAATTATACGCTTTTTGACTTGCTTTAGTACATGGAGCTTATATGTTTCACATATTCAAAGTTATTTATAATTTATATTATTTAGATTAACAGACTTGAAGCACTTCAGCATCACAGCTTAATCGTTGCGTGCGCAGAGTGCAAAAGCCAATAAATTTTACTTCAATGAATTGAAATATTTAAATATAAATGAATGAAAACAATGTTACTAGGACAGACCCAAGCTAGGTGGCCGGGCGCTGCGACCAATTGACAACTTTATCCATGTAAATTCAGTATGAGATGCATGTACAAAATTTAAAGGAGGGGGAGGGTCCACAAAATTGTTCTCTAAGAAATTACCATATTTATTTAAAATTATCATACACAAACCTTTACGCCTAAAGAGCTGGGTTCAGGTATCTTTTTTCCAATTCATATTGTAAATTTTACATGATTGGAAGACTGACATTCATCAATAATTTTCAGCTCGGATACCCATTTTTCTGCAATAAAAATATTTTAATTTGTGAGAAAACAGGTGATGGATGAAATTTAAAGTGAAAACCTTGCAAAAATTATTGAAACAACGGTGGAAAACTAACTTAAATATTTGGCATTTTCGCTGGGGGAAATCTTTTGTCCTGTGTGAGAAGTCTAGAACCCAAAGCAGTCTGGAATCTGGATTCAGACAAGCACAGACGACTCAATTAATTACAAATAATCTTTAAAAACAAATTTTAAAATTTTTGATGTTTTTAATGGTAAAAAGGTTAATTTTCGGTACGTTATCTTTTAAAATTTATGATTTATTATTAATCATTAAAGTCTAATGTTCTCGTGAGTGCTTATTAAACCTGTAAAAGTAGAATATTTTCACATAAAATAGTAACTTCATGACATAAGACACCCCGTAAATTGTTCACAAGGTACTTGTAGAATAATTTACAAATTAAAAAGAGCCTCCAGTTTTGGATAAAATTAATTACTTTTTACCTAAAATTACATATTATTTTAGAAATAATGCCACAACTTACAATTTGCACAAATGAACACATCCATTAAATGGTATCATATTATTTTTCTGATAGATTAAGTACGCTTTTTAAATTCTCACAATTCAATCGTAACAGAAGAACGTTTCTATTTTAGATAATTAATGTTTTTAAGAATTATTCAAATTTTCCCTAGAAAATTCTATTTCCAAACCAAACCTATGGGTTCTAGACTTTATTTATATGGCGCAAAACAAAGTTGCGCAAGATGTGCTAAGTGCTTGCTCAAGTGAAATAAAAAGTTTCAACAACAATTATTCGTTTTAATCCAGAAGGACCTAAATTAAGAGCATTTTTCCTAACGGTATGACTGCTGAGTCGTTTGTAGAATGTCATTTTCCGCTGTCAACAAAGCTTTTCTTATAAGCATGCTGAGAAACGTTTTTATTATTTCAGACAAACTTGTATTGAGGTGAATCCTACATGAAGTATCAGGCTTTGGTCTTTGAGCAGAATGCTAGAAATAGCTCACAGGTCCAGTTTTTTAGTTATGACTCTTCTTTTCAGGCATTAGGGGATTCTTTCGATAGTGCTTAAGCAATTATTGTTACTTAACCTATTTGTATTTTAAGTTTTGGCTGCTAGTTAAGTGATTTTAGAGTTAACTTTACCTGCTAGGTTCTGCTCATTTTCAAATAATGGGTCTCGATAATTGGTAATTTCTTAATATCTATTTCCATATAATAACTAGGTCTTGTTCATACAGGATTCTGATTGTAAGATGGATGAGAGAGGTTTAAACTACAGTCTGGCCCAGTTGGGAATTGGTCCTTGGTCCTCAGGACAGATGGACCATTCCCCCTGGACCACAGGACTTAAAGATACCGAACCCGCGGACCAGGCCTGGTCTACCTCAAGCCTTGATCCATGGTCTCAGTCTCCGGATATATTCTCCAGTAGGAGATCTGATCTTATCTCCTGTAGACCGGAGGAAACGGCGAACCTGAAACCTGGGAGTTCTCCGGTTCAGGACTTGTTCAATGATACCTGGAGCAACGGGAGTTCAACCGGTGAGTGTAGATAGTTCAGGGATTCATGTAGAGACTTTTTGGCGAATGTGAGAAATCAATTTTAGCAGAATTGATGTAATAAGATGCTATTGTGGCAGAATTTATGGTCTTCGATACTATTTTTGGCAAATTTTTTGTTTCACCTGTTGTAAAGTGGCATTTTTGGGATTGGTGTTATATGTTCTGCCGGATTAATCTATATAATAAAACAATATATAAATATATATATATATATATATGTTCCCTCTGGCCGGCCAAACGGCTGGACCGAATGGGCTAATATTTTTTGTGTACACGCATGGGTAGCCTAGGGGTGACATAGGCTTAAAAAAAGTATTCGAATTTATTTTTTTCCAATTTTTTTCTTGAAACGCCGGGCCCTTCAACTTGTATTAGATAACCCCCAAAGTTAGTCCAGGAATTCGTATCTGAACGAAAATATTTTGTTAAACTGAACCTAAACTTATCGAATTTTCGAAGTCTAAACTCTGGTTAAGAAAATTTTAATACCTTGAGAGAGCATGTTACGACCCATATTTGTTAAGGGTGTGTAAAATAAAATTTGTAGATATTTGGGAAAAGTTTTTTGGGAACTTGTCTTACTCAATTTCTTAGGTTCAGCAGTTATGTTCCCCCCCTTTTTTTAGTAGAAAAAAATATTCATTTCCCCCAATTCAGCTTTGGTAAAAAGTTTAAAAATGTTTTCATAATATTTCTAATATACCAGGAAATAATTTTAATTGAAGTTAAATGAGAGGAATGATTTTTTTATTAAAATTAATTTTTGCATTTCACTATTGTCTTATTTTCGAGAGAACTTCCTTCACATCATAAATATTTTAGAGTTCCAGCCGTGGAGAAATGAAAAAGCTGGAGATATTTGGTTGGACGAAGAAAAGAGGTGGGTTTTATCTAATGGCTTATTTGCTGCAATTTTTAAAAAAGTTTCCGGGGAGAACTTTACAAGCGATCTAAAATTTTCTCTTTGTTTTCATTGTAAACAATAACAAAAAACTCGTGGATTTTCAAAATTTAATGAAAATCGAACTTTTTTGAAGGCTAATTATTGAACGTTTGATCATCCATAAACCTGCCCTTGGGTCATAATCTGAGAACAAAAATTATAAATGTACTTTGCCAGGGAGAGACAGGAGTCGGGACTAACATCTGGAAGTTGTGGCAGCTGTGGTAGCTGTATCAGTTGCAGCAGCTTCTCAGATTCACCGGACTATTTGGGAACAATAATTCAGGTTAATTAATTTATGTATAGTCGTCGTATGTGTATATATATTAAATATCGTTACAAGAAAGATGACTTTCCATTTAAAATTTTGTTTTCTACCAATGTTTCCAACAGCATGGATACACAATACACATAAATATCGAAACATAAAAGCTCTTTTTCTCATGTGAACTTGTAGTTTGGAAAGAAAACAAACTTAAATAGAAAAGTTGTCTTCATTGTATTTATATGCACGCCGTCTATTGTAGATGGTTTGTCACTGGTATATATAAGGATTGCAAGCTATTTATTTCTTACGCCAATCTCTTCTTTAAAGTTTCCTGACAGTCCTTGGTCCTTGACTCATATCCTTGAATTCTACTTAATTTTTGACGGGGAGTAAGAAAGAGCAGATCAGTTATTTATTTCGTGTGAAGAAGATTAAAAGCCTATTAAAGCATTGATTGGATGATTGATTGATTGATTGATCGATTGATTGATCGATTGATTGATCGATTGATTGATTGATTGATTGATTGATTGATTGATTGATTTATATCTGCAGGAGGGAGTGTTGAAGTGGGGTGACAGTGGAAGTGAATCTGGATCCAGGAATGATAAGCTTCTTGACTCCGACCAATCCTCATCCGAGATTTGGGATCATTTTGCAGATACTTGGTCACAGGTAATCCCCCCCCCCTCTAATAACAAGTTAAGATTAATTTTTTCAAACAAATAATTTTATCCGTATATTGTATATAAACACCACTTGAGAAATGAACTTTCCCATAAAACTTATTTAAACAATATATCATATAAAACTGTTTTACCAGGAAGTGAACAAGAACAGGGTGTCTCAGTTCTCCCCTCAACCTTTACCTAAACCTTCGACTTGGAACCCCCCCCTGGAGTCGAGAGATCTTCTCAACCCCCACCTGGAGTCAAACGATCTAACCAACCATGAGCCTGAAACCGTGTTTGATCCTTTCCGTTTGAACCAACAACGTGTATCCCCTGTGTTTGATAATAATTATTTTAACAAACATTTCTTAAACGCCAAGCTGATCAGCAACATTGATGTACAACAGAGACAGGGGTTCCAAGCGTATACCTCTAACAAGAGGTGTGAATTTGGAAGGAACGAATTTAACGGATTTGGTAGGGTAGAGGAGCAAAATGTATGCAATAGAGGATTGGAAAACAGCCGTTTCAATGCTGGAGATAACATTGGGTTTTCAGAAGAGAAAGAGATGTTTGTTGCTCGTCAGTTGGCTGGTCTTAGCTCTCCGATAGCTGGTAGGTTTGAGGATCAGCAGGTTGTCTACAGAAACCCTAATACTAGTTTTGAAACCCAAGAAGGTGTTATCAGAAACCCTGCTAATAGATGCGGGAACCAAAGCGGTGTCTACAGAAACCCGAATACCAGTTTTGATACTAGAGGTTCCGTGCTAAGACCCTCGTCTGTTGTGAGCATGTATGGTGAGAAAGTTGGACTACTTCAGGACGGAGCTGGTAGGGCTAAATCCTGGGAGGAGGAACCAGGGTTTGGAAATATTCAAGGTGGGATGAATGAGATGTTCTCTTCTCAGTTCCTGGACTCTAGAGCCTCTGAACAACGGAACACGATTGATAATAGTTTAACCAACCTCATGAACTTGATGAGCATAATGGATAGTCAGGAGAAGAATAACATCCTACCGCCAAGCTTTATGGAGCCGCCACAAATGCATCTGCCGCCACTAGGACGGGCTATTACAGGCGCCAAGCTTACTCCCAGCTATCCGCCTCCAAACATCAGCTCTTTCGGAAATATCTACGATGAAACTCCTTTCTTTAAAGATCTAGCAATGCCTTTCCCGATTAATTTCAAGGTTCCGCCTCCTTCTCATCCTCCAGCCGTACCACACCCTTCTATGGTTCCGCCCCCGACCTTCTCCATCCCGCCCCCCGTCCCAATCATCAACTATCCGCCGCCGAACCATCTGCCGTCACGTCCAAACCTCGCCATAGAGTTACATATGCGCCTTGAGGAGGCGTATGAGCAGTTTCGATCGGTTGAGAAGGAACGTAAGAAAACTGAAGCTGCGCTAGCTCGTCAGTTTCCTGGACGAAAGGTTTCCAGCAGCAACTCCATCTCAATCCCTGGTCTGCTTTACAATCCTACAAGGTTAGTCAAGCCAGTCAAGCCATTGCGTCACAATTCAAATATCAAACAGAGGAATATATTTGAAGAACATCTTTCCACCATTTGGGAGATGGGAATGGTCAAAATTTGAACGTTAAACGGCATGATCACTTTATGCCATTCAAAATTCTTTTATTTTCCGAAATAAATAACAATTTACTTGTGCCATTAGTGTGTCCGAATCAATGCGTTTTCCAAGAATGTTTTCTAATGCTAAACCACGCATTTAACCATTAGTAAAAATTTAACTTTTTAGGTTTTGAAAATTGTCTTTCCATATTTCATAAAATCTAATTAATTTATTTTACAGGGTGGACAAGTTAGTGGTAGATAACCAGAGGGAACATGCTAAAGTTGCAACACTAGTCGGTAGAGTTTGATACAGTGATAACCAGAAAATCAAAGCAATAGTTTTACTAGATACTTATCAAATCAATAATTAATTGAAATGGGATTGTTTATACTGCCAAATTGCTGTGTCTAATGTTCAATGGACTATTAAAAGTCACAACTTAGTCTAAAAGTGTCTTTTTATTTCAGAGTTCTCTGGTTATCACTGAAATATATATTTTTTATTACTCTAAATCTGGTCATTATTATTTGTTCAGAATGATGATACGCAATATTCTTTTTTTTATTCAATATTTTCTTCCAAACAAAGTCTGAAACTAAAGAACGAAAAGTTTTGACTTTTTTAAGATCATGGTTAAATGCCACTTCTGACTAAATTTAAACCTGACTTTAACCGTGAGGTTAAATATTTAACCCTGTGGTTAGATATTTAACTCGCCGAATCAACGAGTTAAAATTTAAAACCAGGGTTAAAATCTTGAAATCCTGCATTTTCCCTATTTGTCTATTATTCAATCATCATTCAGCTGAGAAAGCGGCATTCAACTTTACGATATATTTAAAAGTGAAAACCTTGTTAAAAAATTTCACGTTTTAGATAAATTAATTTTTGCATGTAAACCCAAAAAACGGTTGTATGTTTTGTTTTCGGTTACGTAATAACAGCTGATTAGCGATGGTTATGTAATATTCTCCGTAAATCCTTTTCTCTGATTGGTTCAGATTTTTCCCGGGAAATTCAAATTTAAAATTTAGAGAGTTTGATATTTAAGTAGCTACTCATTATTTTACAGAACATTTAACCTCGAACTTAAAATTCGCGCATTCTTTAGTTTAGACTCAAGTTTTTAAAGAAGTTACCTGAGTCCAAAACTAAAGACAAATATGGGATTGCGGGATTTCAAGATTTTAACCCTGTGTTTAAATTTTAACTCGTCGATTTCGGCGAGTTAAATATTTAACCACAGGGTTAAATATTTAACCTCACGGTTAAAGTTCATGTTTAAATTAAGTCAGAAGTGGCATTTAACCATGAACTTAAAAGTTAAATCAAAACTTTTCGTTCTTTAGTTTTAGACTCTGCTTGAAAGGCATTTCCCCCTATATAGTATTAGTATTTAGCAAACAATTGAACTAACAAATAATATTTTGAAGAAAATCTAACTATTTCCTGGCCCAATCTTTTAATTAATGAGAAAGCTATTGAACTATAAAAATTTTAAACCCCTTTAATGCTCAAACCTAAATAGGTTGGTTTGGTTGAACCAGTCGTTTAAAGCTAGTTTTTATTCAATTTCTTGTGCATTAAACTCAAATTTTAATCCTCTTTTAATCATCTTTGCAACCTGTTAAAATCTAAGTTTAAAATAGGAAAGGTCGTTGAAATCAGCTTTCCAAGACAAAAACAAATGCACTTTATATTGTGTATTCTTATTATTAGTTTTTCGTACACTATGTCAAATTTAAGCCCAAGCAGAGGTTACATGCAAAAAACGACGCAAAATGAACGTCTTGTAAGATCGTTTTTCGGATCGTTTTTGGATTTCTTATGTTTTTAGGTTAGTAAAATCAAAGTTTAACAGAATACAGTTTTGAAATCTTCGAAGTTGTATTATTTTTCTTCAAAAAACGATTTAAAGCGATTAACAACACTAAGTTTGTTGTGTGTGTTCAGTGCGAATGGAGAAACTGCGAGGTGGTGTAAGGTTTGGAGAGGGAGTTAACACTAATCTCCAGGCTTGGTATAAGGCAGCAGTAAGGGTACAGGTATATATTATTATTTGTATATCGCTCGCTGTAAATATTACTCTTTAGAATTTAAAAGTAAATTTTTCAAGAACTGATGAAACTCCGCCTTAAGTCAGAAAAGTCCGCAAAATGTTGTAGTTTTTTGCCAAATTTTCTTTAGGATCTATATAGAACATATTATAACCCCTAAGAAGCCCGAAAACTTTAAACACATTTATCTAGGATTTGCGCAGAAAGGAAGTGGAAGCGCAGTCGCCCTACAACCGGGACGACAGGGCGCTTGCGTTCAGTCTAGGGTCTCTTGCTCAGGCAACACGCGGAGCTCGAACTGCACTGTGGAGTGCACTCCAAGCAACTGCGCTTATGGAGGTCGATCATGAAGTTGCTTTGGGAGAGAAGGAGCCCAAGGTAAATATTGATTTTTTAAATTTTCAGTGAAAAATTCTCTTCAAAAAAATAAAAATTGATCATGTTCAATCAAGGGCCTAATGTTATCTGGAAAATAATGTCGACTAGCATTGTTCTTGAAAATGCTCGAATTTGAAAAGAAATATCCTAGAAATTTATTTTTGGAGAACAAATAAAAAATGGAGATTTGAAGAGCAACAGCTTTAAGTTAAAATTGTTTTATGAAAGGGGGTGCAAAGCGCTCTAAAAGGCCAGTATAACAATAGTTCCTTTTTCTTATCCTAGTATTTCAAAATATGAAAAATATGGGTTCCAAAAATGAAACATTTTCCAAGTATTGGATTTTAGGACGCCAGAGCATTGGAAAATATGTTTATTTTAGGACGCCAGAGCATTGGAAAATATGTTTATTTTAGGACGCCAGAGCATTGGAAAATATGTTTATTGACAAGGGGGAGAAAGAAGATGAGGAAGGAGGAAAGGAAAAATCTGAAATAAAGAATGAAGATGAAAAGGTGGAGAAGGAGGAAAACAAAAAGTAGAAGGAGAAGGGCTTGAGTTGACTGTTCTGACTGATAGATTCCTTTTCTACCCGTTGTATTGGGCATTATATATAGGTAAGAAGTTTCTTTTATTCTTAAAAACACGTTGCCTACATTTCATTGATGATTGATAGTTTGTTGTTAATATTCAATCGATTAATTCCAAACTAGTCTCATGAAAGAATCATTATTAGCGAAACCATTGTTTTTTTTTTTNGATTTTAATTAATAAGTTATATATTGTCTTCCTAGTTTTTCGTGAATGATTATTATGATGATAATCATCTAATCGTCTTTTTTTCTGTTTAGAGGGTGGGGAAGGGGAAAGGTAAAGAGGGGGAAGGGAGGGAAGTGGATAGGTCGGGAAGGAGATAGTTATGGAAAGAGATTGGTAGGGAAGAGGAAAATTCTGGACGGGGACTTAAATAACATCAATAATAACTTCAAGCTGAACCCAAAAGCTCGGTAATGAAAAATATTTTAAAATTTTCTTTTTTTCAGATCTGTACTAGTCGCCACATTCTTTTACCAGTGTTTTAAATTCTAAGTTCCCTGAAAGGGTAAAATCAGAGAAACGGACCTATTTAGAGGACCTTGTAAATTTGTAGCTTGTTGAATGTCCATTTGTAGACACACTTTTTCGCTGTTTTTTCGCCGTTTGCTCAAATTTAGTGACCTAATTATAATGTTGATGTAACCTTTACTAAAAATCACTTGTAAACTTGTTATCTATATATCTATCCTCTTTGGGGACATTACTATATATATATTTATACAAATATTCACTTATAAATAGCCCAGACAAACGGGTGCATGTTATAATCACGTTTTTTACCATTTTTAATCTCTTCGTCGATATGTAATTCATTTAGAATCTGTAAATTTTCCTGTGAGATGTTTTATTGTAAGCTGGGTTTGTATCCTGGATCCCCCCCCCCCCTCCCCGTTGTATTGGCTCTATAAACCCAAGTGAAAAGTTACCCCACCAAAGCAGTCTTTATTAAACCATTATCAATGTTTTATTCACATTTCTAGCTCATGTTGAATGTTAGTAGCTAATATCCTGACTAATTCATCAAGCATAGTCCCTTTAAATATTGGGGATTAATCCATCAAAAGTTTTGAAATTAATTGAGCTTATTTCTTTCTCTGTTCTCCCGATTAGACTGAATCGAATCGTTTATGCAAAAGAAAAAAATAATATGATAATATTTATTGTTTTGAATTAATTACCCATTAAATCTGAGCTTTTAAATTTGAGACTTAAAAATATGGCTTGAAAATTTCTGCGGAGCTGGTTTTAGTCGCAAATTGAAACCCTTCCTTCAATGTTCCGGGGGTTAATTTTTTCCTGATATACTAATTGAGATGATGATTCACATATTTCGTAAAATATGTTGTCCGCTTGTTCTTTGTACATAACACAGTAAAAAGCATTCATTTAAGAGCAAGGGGAAAAATGTTTAACAATAAAAATCCTCAAAATTGAAATATTGTCAACTTCCTACAAAAAAAAAATCAATTAACCCTGTCACGATTGGGGGTGGTTATTTCTCCATAACTTAACTGCTTGCAGTAGAGCGCTGCAATTTCAAAATTGGAGCACATGTTTTTGTACAAAAAATGTTTTTTTTAATGCAATATCAAGGATACCCCCCCCCCATCTTAGACAAAAAGAGTGCATATAAACTGTAAAAAATCTAAAATGTTCATCTCGGAATCTTGGGACATGGTTTCATTTCCCGGATAAAACCAGCTCTATAGCAAGTGTTGTATTCTACCAACCCCGAGCTTCAGAAAATATCAATTTAGCATGAACTATTTTTACCATCCATGTTCCTGAGCTCCAATCCTTTTTTAATTGTAAAATTATTGATCTTTAAACTTTTTAAACATGATCTTTATAGTCGAAATTGATCTTAACTAGCTGTTTAATTAAAACCTTTAAAATTGATCTTTCAACGTTATGCGCTACCATAATCAAACTGTTTTAACCCTTTAAACCAATTAATGTAGCACTGACTAGTTATATTAAAGGGACTGTAAGCGTAACTTGAAGTGGCACTCGATGCAACGAAAGCAATGCCCGGTTTACAGTAATGCTAATAAAATGTTTTCTGATAAAAAATTGTGGCACATACCGGTATTTTTCTTACTCAAATGGTTATGTTCTGTGAATTTCCCCATTCTTATAAGAAGTTTTTTTTAGCAAGAAATTTGCAAGTCACTTGAAGAGAACCCACAAATGAAAATAAACAAAAATTTGATACTTCAGACAACGCTTTTAAGGGAACCGCTGTTAATCTTTGCATAGAGGGTCACTTGAGCTTACGCGTACAGTACCTTTTAACCCTTTAGACCTGAATGTTTCTAATTGACTAACCTTGAAACTAGATCTTTCTCAAGTGTTATCTTACCTTTTAAACCTTAATCTTTGTTAAATATTGGTATATTATATTATCTTGCTGTATGCTTCGTGTATGAACCCTGATTGGACCTCGACAATGTTTGGCTGTGTGACTTGATTCTAGTGTAGGCTTTGCATTTCATGCACATGACATGATTTTGATTTTTCACTTTTTAAATTTATGCATATAAACCATATATAAATATATATCTATACCAGGCCTTAAATATGCTTTTATCCAGGGTATGGTTTTCGTATTTTCTAATTTTGAAAATAAATTTCAAATTTTATCGCCCTGTGTCATTCTGAAATACTGTTAGATAATCGCTAGAAAATAATAATGGACGCTCGACCAAAATAATGTCTTTTTAACGTTTGCCCTTTTTCCACCAATCTTGATACTTTTAGATGTTCTCTTTTCTCATATGTTTATTGAAAATATTATTAATGCTAAAACCAGCTTAAACATCTGACAGTTGTACTGTCTTCAAAATAGTGAATATTCATGATGTATATATGCATGTACATTGTACAGTGTATGTAGTAAGTACCCTTGTACAACAGTGTACAGTGTACACTTATTCTTGTTTTTTTTTGCATTTAGCGTGTTATTTGTTCACTTTTAACATTGTATTGATGTGAGGTAAACATTATCAATTCCATTTCAACATCTTCAATTAACTCCTCTTTGTCCTTTTTGCGCTACGACATTTTTGCTCCAAGCCATATGCCATTTTTATTAAAAGCTTTATTTTAAGTACACAACTTTTCTAGTCGCTGGACTTGACCCCTAGCCGGAGAGTTTGACCCCTCCAGTAACTTTCAACGCAGTAGAAGGTCTCACTTAGCCCTGAATAATGGGTTAGAACCTTACGAGATATTAATTCTTATTAAAAAAATGTCTTATATAGCAAAGAAGCGTTTTCTGGGTGGTTATACCATTGGACACTATACAAAATTTTATCACTTTTGTATATGTCGTAGCGCATTTTATCCTATTTATTCCTCGACTATTTTCTCAAATAGTAAAGTTATTCTCCATCTGTTTCTTCTTATTAAAACCAACTTTTAACGATGAAAATTTCCTTTCTACAAAATTCTTAAATTTATTATTTTGTATCTGATGACCATGATTACTTTTTATTTTCTTATCAGCACATTTGATATTTTTAATCCTTTCTTTTAATAATATTTTAATCCTCTACCTGAGAAAGTTTCCCAAGTGGCATCTTTCGAAATATACAATTTCCCAAGAGGTAACATTCCTAGTCTGTCCAGGTGCAGCTCTTGGCCTCCAAGCTTTGGAAATTATTGCACATTTGTGAAGTCGTATTTGAGAAAATTTAATGTTTACCCCATTCTCCTCTTTACAGTTTTGATGCGAAGATGAAATACTTCTTCACGCTGTTAAACAAACGATGTACTTGTATACTATGCATGCTCTGTAAGTTAAACTATGATTCATGTACATCTCATATAATGTGCTGCAGTTACGTACTTTTGTACTGTTTACTATATGTACAGAGTACTATTTGTGCTATGTTGTGTAATCACATGAATGTATTAAATTATGTATTAAGAATGTTTATTGTTAATGCAAGGCATAAATTTCATGTTTTGAGATCCTTAATTCTTGCTTGGTCTTATTTTAAGGTTTGCAGTTCATGAGATCCGGAAATTTTTTGTCTTTTTAAGGGTATCATTGTGCGACGATTTTAAAGTTAAATTAATTTTTCTTACGATTTTGAATGAGAAGGGATTTGAATATCTAACACGTAACTTTTTTCATAAATAGATTTTTTGTAAAATTTCACTTATACTAACACTAAATACTTTTTTAATTTCTCTATTAAAATGATTTTAATTCTATCTAATATTTACGCTTAAATAATCAAAATATATATTTGGTCACCCCTATATTTAATGTTTAACATCATATATAGTTTAGTGTGTTTTTATATTTTTCAGTTTTTCATAATTTTTGTCATTTTTTTAAGCAATTTCAGTTAAATGTAGCCAATACACTTATTTTTAATAATATTAATTTTTGACCTTTTAACAACCTTATTATATGTTATAACTTGAGATTGATATATATTTACGTTAAGAAGTAATTTAATTTTATTCGGTTTAGATCATAGTTTGTTTATGCCTTGTATTTAGTATCCACCTATACACTCTAGTTTATTGGAGCTTAATCTTGTTTTCTACCCTGTAACCAATGATATATAATTATATTATTATATAAATTGTCTAAATTATCAATGTTTAATTATCAATAAATAATCTTTTCTTGTCGAAAACATGTCAAAAGATGATTTTGCAGTTACGAAAAGGAGGGCTAGTTATTTTTTGAAGTTAGGTTCCTGTCCCCATTATTTAAAAGCCAAAGAAGCTTCACATTGAAGACGACATTCCAGCAGGGATAAGATTCGATTTCCTATTCTATTTTATTCTGAATCCTAGAAAATTGTAGAGAAGAAATCTAAGTGGAAGAAAAACTTGTTTAAAGAAAGTGATGTCCCTTCCTAATATAAATATAGAATATAGATATGCTTTTATCTACCGATCTTTACGTGTGGGCCATTGTACAAGTAACTTTGTGGGTGTGCTTCACAGCTGGAGTGGACCCTAGATTTTTTGGGATAAATGTACAACCTCTGCACAGTTTACTTAGGGTTTTACTAACAAACTTTTATTCTGGCTATCGTTCATTCTGTAAAAAAAATTTGTTCTGTAAAAAGGTTTGAAGGGAAGTTTTGGGTCCAAATCAGAGAATAGTTTTCTTAGATTGTGGGCTCTGGAGAATACAGAAATGATGTACCGTAGCTAAAATCTTGTAATTATAAAATTGCCTCCCAAGAGCTTGGTAGCATCTCATGAGCTTTGTTCAGAGATTTGAACTGCATAGTTAGTTAAATATGTTTTAAATTATTTGATTTTGATTATAACCTACAATATTTCAGAATTATGTAAACCATCATTCACACTAGACTACAGGTCCAGAAACCTCTACTTTTATGGCTTTTTTTCGGCTAATGTAAACAAGTTAATTATTTTTGATATAAAATTCTTTCCTATTTTGAATTGCTTTAAAGAAAATGCCACTTTATGAGGAATAAAATAATAAGAAAACTCCTTCATTGTCATTTGTTGTATCAATGCAGTTTAAACAAACTTCTTCATATTCAATTATTTTTCTTTTATCCTTTCTATGTAATTTATTGTATTTTTTTGCAGGTTTTAACTTTTCTACATCGATGTTAAAATTTACTGAATAAAGTCCTGTGTAGGGTTTCCACGAAATGGCTAAATCTTTTGCGCAAAATTTGCGCTATTTTCGCGCAAAATTTTTTTTGCGAACTTTTGCGCTATTTTTGCGCATGAAACGAAATGAGTTTTGCGCGGTTTTGCGCTATTTTTTTTACGCAATTTGCGCAAAACCGGAAATATTTTTTGCGAAAGTTGCGCATGAAACGAAATTTTAGTTTTGGGCAATTTTTTTTGCGCAATTTGCGCAAAACCACAAGTTTTACGCAAAATGTAACTTTTTAGGCAAATTGTCAAAAATTGATATTCTAAGCTTAGAATTAAACAACTGAAGATGTATTCCATACATAAAAGAATATTAACATATGAGTATGATAACGATTATACTACACTCAATTGTTTACTTCCAGTTACAAAAAGTTTAAATTTGAGAGTGTGAAACTTGGCAATATTTTAATCCTATTAAATAATTTCAAGTGACCCTTAAAAGCTTTGCCTAATCAAGTATGAATCATATTATTAAATTTTTTAAATCAAATTTCTGAAATCTTTTTAATCTCATATAAAATAATGCAAGAAAGTAACCAATGCCTGAAGAATCCACTTTTAGGAAATATGCTTGTCCAACATTAAAATTGTCGAGACTTTTACTGGACAATCTGTTTCGGATTTTGGTACAAAACCTTCCAGCACTGGAAGAATTGAATTCTAAGAAACACACACCGTCACCAACCGTTTGATTTTTACGAAATTGCGGAATTGCGCAAAACTTGATTTTCGCAAAAACGGTAAAGGGCAATTTTGCGCGAAATGACTTTTGCGAATGATTGCGCAAATTGTTGTTTTTTCGCGCAAAACTGATGCGCAAAGAAAGAAAAATTTTGCGATTCGTTCCGCAAAAATTGCGCAACAGTTTTGCGAATGGAAACCCTAGTCCTGTGCTAAAGTGTGACGTTTTATTTCAACACTTTAGTATCTCCGACAACTTATGATACAAAGAATGAGGCTAAATTTCACCAATGTTTTACTATACTACTTTGACAACTATTAACTTTACGAAAACCAAGTCCATGGTTCAATGTCTCAATGTCTAACGTACCACACGACACCCCAGCCATAAAATTACATCAAACCTTGACTATGATATATCCATTCTAGTATATATCCATGGGCATACTCAAAATACTTAAATATAATAAATATTCAGCTAAGGAGTTCAGAGATTTGGGAAAAGTTTTTTTTTAAAATCTTTAATAAATAAAGCGATAATTTTATGTGTTACGTGGGTTTAAAAAAATAGATAAAAATATTTATTTTCTGCGACTTCTGGAAAGTCTATTATATATATTATTATTTAATATACAAAATAGCTTGCAAGCAAACTAGGCAATCAAAAATTACAATATTTCTGCACATAGAGAAATAAGGATACGTCCATTATCCTTGATGAGTTAAAGGCTTAAATGGTACTGTTCTGAATCTGACACATCACTTCACAAATGGAGGGTTAGATAAAAACATTTTACTTTCAGAGTTTCCTATATAATATATTTCATTGAAAGTACGTATTTAGGCCGAATATTTACAATAATACATCCATAAATGCTTAATAGTTAAAATTAAAAAATATTACGTTTACTATATATATATATAATAATTATGTACTTTAACTGACTTTTTTTCAATTAAGTTTTATTTCTACTGCTTTCTTCAAACTACAAGTCTACGAGTAAACGAAGGGAAGTCGTTAAAGGGAGTGTTCACGAAAAATGAAAGGGGGTATAGACTTATGTCGAAAAATATCCGATGGATTGCTACTGAGCTTACTTTAGTCCGTTGTGTCTATAACAAAGATAAATAAATGTCGTCTTATGCGCAATTTATCTTTATCTATGGTCTATAAGGAGAAAATTTTTACCGAAGAACGTAGCATCGATACAAATTCAGAAAATTGCAATATCGACTCGAATCGTAAAAAAAAAAACAATTTGATTCCATACAAATCATTCAGATAATACAACCTATAATCATCCATATTTTCAACACATTCGTATATTTCTTTATATTTTTTGTTTTATATACAGGGTGTCCCACGAAACATGACAGTATGCAAAACGACTTGAATATCGTCTTAATTTTTGATATAATTTGCTGAATTTATTTGTCAACCTAATTTTAGAAGTAAATTTCTAGAGATAATAATCAAAAAATTCCCCTAGTCCTGCCATTTCTAAAATATGGTCTGCATTTTTTGTGCTTTCAATATTGCCCGAGATATGAACAATTTCGTTCAGATATCGACAATTTTGCTTTTATTTAACAAAATTTAAATCTGAACCAAACTCTTTATATCTCCGGTAATATTGAAAGCACAAAAAACGCAGACCACTTTTTGGAAATGCCAGGGCTAGGAGAATTATGTGATAATTGTTTCAAGAACCATACATGTTAAAGTAGATAGAAGACTAAATGTCACAAATAAATTCAAATGTCAAAGACGACTTTCAAGTCGTCTTGCTATTGTCATGTTTCGTGGAACACCCTGTACTATGCGATTTAAAAGACGATAAATTGGCCGCCAAGTGTTTCTGTATGGTTCCTCGTTGGAGAGACTGCACCTAGCGAACAAAAAATCGTCATTTTAAGTGCATGGTATATAAAACAAATAAAATATATTATGAAATATCAACTATATACGAATGCCTCGAAAAAAAATCGATGATTATGGTTGTACTATGATCTATCTGACAATTAATTGTGATGTTTTATTTCCAACAAAATATGATTTGGTTGATGAAGATGTGGCATTATTTACAGTTAAAATTTGTATCATACAAAAGGTATACGTACTCATGGCATGCAAGCAAGGTGAAGTTGACTTTCAAAGCTCTTTTTGCGCCCTTGGTCTTTGATGGGGGTGGATTATTTTCAAGAAAATATAAACCCCTGGTATTTCAATTATGAATATTATTAGAATGTATCTTAAAGATCAACGGTTACAATTCCCATGTTAGGAGTTAGGGCATTCTTTAGCATTTAAATCAGTCGAGTAATTATTTGTAGAACTATTCTCACAGTCAACTTTTACTTCATACAGTTCAGTTTGTGAGTTAGTACTTTCTTCAATACTAGTTCCTCCTTCACAACAATTGTGTATTTTTCTATCTGGCTTGATATTATCAATAAGCTTGGACAAACTCTCTATTTGATGGGCACCATTTAACTCAGCCCAGGGGTGAGCCCATTTATAGTGCAGGATCTGAAACAATTATTAAAGTTTAGTTTAAAGGGACTGTAAGCGTAGTTTCTATTGACCTTTCATGCAAACATGGCAATGACCATGCCCTATTTACAACGGTTCTCTAAAAGCTTTGTCTGATCAAGTATCAATTAGTTATCCATGTTTGATTTGAATTGATTCTCGACAATTGTGACTCAAGCGCATTTCTAGTTGCTGATAATGGATAATTATCAAAATTAAACACATTTTTGATCAGATTAAGGTTTCAAAGGTACTGTTGTGAATCGAACAACACATTTTTTGCACAAAGGGTCCCTTAAAACTAGATTTACTATTCATCTCAAATATAGATGTAGTTATTTCAAATTTTTGTTTGTATAAGAGGGCCTTCAGTTGAATTATGTGTCCCACCTTCATTTTTACAATATATTTTTTATCATTTTTTAACGTTTTTTTTTAATAAATGATTTCATTTTAATGTTTAGGTCATTAACAATGGCTGATTTTAAAGACATTTGATGGTCAACAATTTGGAACGATCTTGGTCAATAATAAATGAAGATTGTTTATGAGTAAAAGGCGTTTTATTCATCCAGTCATCGATGTTTTATTAATGATTATTCCAGTTTCTTGAAATTTAGTTCTAACTAAGTTCTTTGTAATTTTCTGAACGTGGTCGTTAACAGGAACTAATGTTCATTAATTTAAAAAACTGAAGTTGCTATAATTGCGCCCAGATCTATTTGAAATGGTGTTAGGTTCTTTCATAAAGGCGATATCCCAAGGTCGACTTCCCAAGTGACAAAATGACAGGTACAAAATCCTGAGTTTTTGTTTTGAGAATCTGATTCTTACAAAGATAAAATTACATTTTAAACTGCAACTTCCCTAAGGTTAGGTTAAGCCTTCTAAGGTGCCCCAGGATGGGCTAGGGGTCAAGCTCTGGGGCTAGGGTGGGCTACAGGCAAAGGCCTGTGGCTTGTTCAGACTTGAAAAGATGCCTGTTGGAATAATGCCTCCTTTAGGAAAGTACCTAACATCATTGAAACACCAACCTGAAATCCTACCCCTATTATCCAAAGAGCAATCACCCAGCACATTCCATTCTTGTGACTCTCAAATGGGAAGCATGAATGCTCTGGATAAAGAGATGGTTCAATTAGTGGAAGTGAGGTCAGTACAAGATTTTCACAAAGTATAAGAATGAAGAAACTGCAGTGAGGGAGAAAAGAAATTTCATCTTCCTTTAAGTGAACCATTATGATTGAAGATGAAAAAAGGCTGAAGAAAAACTTTAGCATTTTCAGCAAATCAAGCTTTCTCCCTAAAAACACACTGCAGGTCGAGTACTTTTCTTTAATTTCGCTTAGTATTGTAATGAAGAAAACAAACAAAAAATGAACAGTAAAAAACACTGCATATTTATTCAGCTGAAGGAAAGTATCAAGAATTATCAGGCTTCGAATTGCAAACATCCTTGCGGTTGTTTGTGCAAGAATGCTTAAAAGGATCGGTAGGATTCGAAGAGGACTTTCACAAGCACCTATGCCAGGCTTTGTTGACTTCATAAGAGCTCCACTCAGTGACATTGAGAGAATAGTGAGAAGTATTTTGCCCAGAGCCCGTTCAATATAACAGGCAGTGATTTGATCAAATGTCAGGAAACTAAAAATTCCAAAAAGGCTTCTCTGAACAAGGTCATAGGTTCTCCATCTTGCAAGGTCATTGAAAAAAGGTTTCAGAAGCCACATTTGTAAGTACAATTGAACACTTCCTTCTAGACCATTCTCAAAAGACTTAATACATTTCCATGTCCTGTGACTTTCTGAAGCTTTATCCCTATGAGCGGTTCTCTGTTTTGCTTGCCTGTATCTGAATTCATTGATCATGTGTTGAATAGGGAAAAACAATTTGACCAGGAAGGCCAAAGGTAACTTTACCATCATTAATAATATAGTGGTCCATGGTCTGCTAAGGTTTAATACTAAGCATTTCTTTTTTATTTCATTTTCCAGTTTAACTAACCAGTCAGGCTTTGAATGACTATATATGATTATCACATAAAAACCAATTGTTATCATCAAAGTTGCAGTCGTTACCAAATAAGCAATTTCAAAGTAGAAATTAAACCCATTAAAGGAAGTTTTCTTCAAGCACTCAAAATCCAAATCTGTTGAAAATATAGATGAATTACAAGTCCCAAATAGTTCTTGATTTGAATTATCACTAGCATAAGCAATTGAATAGTAGTCAAAGGTAAGAGTAATGTCCGAGTAATAATCATAAAGAAATGGAATGTAGGAACAAAACATGTTGAACATGACCAACAATACAGATAAAGTGTAATGTTTTCCCCCAGGGAATAATTCTTTTGAGGTCTCAATCATCCATGGTAGAAGGGGGACCATGCTAAGGTTGTCTTGCAGACATTTTAGAAAGCAGTTGCGGTTGGGGTGGAAACATTTTTCATACTTCAATAATTCCCAAGCAATGATTTTATCATCATTTTCATTTGCATAATTAAGCGCAGTTTTTCCCAGTACAGGGCTGTAACTTTGGGAATTATAGTGGATAACTTTGTGAAGCTCGTTTATTTCAGATGAAGGGACAGAGTAAATTCCTTCCTTCAAAACATTGTTTAAATCAAAGAAAAATTCATGATTCATTTCTTTACAGGATGCCACCAAATGAGAGCCCAAGAATGATATAAGCATATTTCTCTCATCACATGAAGAGTAGACCGAGGCAGTATTTCTGATTCCATAATTTCTCAGTGCTTTGAAATATGTCTCACCTAAACATCACACATATTCAAAAGCTTTTAACATTTCAAAAATATTATGTCTTCCCCTCCCCATTTTTATTTTTATTCTAACATTCAAGGGTGCAACTTGTACTTTCCCAGGGGTGAGCCCATTTATAGTGCAGGATCTGTAGGGGCTGGGAGGGGGGTTGGGGCGGTTATACAAAAATTTTCAAAAAGAAATCACTGTTTTCAGGATTTGAAGTAAATACAAAGCATTTTTTAATTGTTGAAGGAATGGCATTGTGCTCAATAATGTACCAAATTCTCATAATATTAATGTCTTCAAAAAAATAAACATAGAACAGTTTTAAATGAACAAATGACATGAGTTACTTAATTAAACATGTGTAGGAAGCGGCAGAAAATGTATGCTCTTCTAGGTCTTTCCATGTATTTCAGATTTCTTAGTGTCTGTTGGTCACTGGCTTAGTCATATTCACTATTTATATAAAGTCCCATATAACTGTCTGCAGCAGTTTTTCATTTTTGTAATTCATCCACTAGTCATATGTGTTCATTATATAATCCCTTAATCGTAGGTCTGTGCAGTCTTAGTGGTAACTAGTAAGTACACTGTTTTAAATTAAATGCATGCATCGTCGTACCAGACAGATGTGAGCATGCACATAATCACTGGTACGCTGTTCAGTACCGTCACTCCTTCTCAAGTTTCATGGTACTATTCCTATTCATGATACTTCCCAATCTTTTTGCAATAGTACCATTCCCACTCCTAGTCAGTATCTAATTGTTAGCTATATTGTTTTACTTGAAAGGATACACCCCAAAGGGGGGTACCAATACTCTAGACAAATATAGTCTTACACCAATAAAAGACAAAGTAGTTGAACATTTCTATTATAAGTATAATAGGAAATAGGTTAAAAAGTTATGTAAAACTATAAAACAATGAAATAAATTAGCGATGTAGATATACTGCTACTGCAGTCTCAATCAGATCCACAGATTTGGTTTCCTGGGATCTTTTTGCAAGACAGAGGAATCCATTCTCCCTGCCTGCCCTATTTAGAGGTACAACTTCTGTGCTCTTCTCTATTTAGAATATTAGTTCCAAGAATCTTCTTTAACCAGGGTTTTGAGACTCTTCCTTCAGAACTCTGACCTTCTGGACTCCCAGCCTTCCAACTCCAGCCCAACATGGTTACCCTCCTGATCCCTCCTTCCTGAAGCAGGAAGGGAGTTGGTTCTTCTTTCTAAGAGGCTTTCATCACAACTATAGCTTTATTCTTTGATTGGTCTCCTTTTATATCCTGGCACCCCACCTTTCTCTTCTATCCAACCTGGCTGGTCATTTCTCCAAGGGAAGGGTGTTCAGTCAGCTGCAGGTGCAGGTTTAGTTGACCATCTTTGGCGGCTTCTATGATCCTGTTTTATCAACACATTCCAATTCTTGATTCCTATTAACAGGGGTGAGGGGGGGGTGTGTGTGGTCTACATGACCCCTTAGAGTGAGGGAGGGGGGGGGGGATGGCTACAATATGCACTAGTCTGGTCAGTGCTACTCTTCATCTCAACCGTGTCACCTTCGCATCATAGACGACACTGCAACTGGTCATTGCTACTGACAATCTTTACATTCAAATGCTTGATCGCTGCATTGTCAGACCTTACCTGCTAGCCTCAGGACTCTGTATCCATACATTCGGATTCACAAGTAGCTCTCTCCTTTACTGTGCAATTATTATTTTTTTTTACAATACCACTAGTACTCTGTTAAATCTAATAAATGCTGTACCCTTTTTGACATGTACTTTTGTGGAAGGGCATGTCCTTTCTGAAAAATCCCCCCCACCCAGTATGAGAACCAACTTTGAATGATGTTGTAAGATACAATTTGTTTATTTAAACAGTTTTCATAACATATTAATAAGTAAAAAATACATTACAATAAATAATACAGTACAATAAATATTTATAGGAAATATTACATAGAATTTTGGTTTTTGAGCTTGAAAATTTTCTTTGACAGATTGTTTCTTTGACAGATAAAATGTTTAAAATTGTTTTAAAAAAAACAAATTATCTTGTATAACAAATATAAATTTAATAGTAATTAAAGGCAACAAGAAATTATACTTTGTATCACAGCATAAATTTTCATTCAAAGGATCATACTATGCATCACAGCTTTAATTTTCTTTGGCATGTTCTTTCTTTGTCAGATTCAAAAATGAATTAAATAGTAATTAAAGGAAACAAGATAGAAAGTCTTGAAAACTGAACTGAACTGAACTGAACTGAACTGAACTGAACTGAACTGAACTGAACTGAACTGAACTGAACTGAACTGAACTGAACCGAGTTGAACTGAACTGAACAGTACAGTACTGTACAGTAAAGTAAAGTACAGTACAGTACAGTTCAGTACAGAACAGTACAGTGCAGTACAGTACAGTACAGTACAGTCCAGTACAGTACAGTACATTATACAGTACAGTACAGTACAGTATAGTGCAGTACAGTACAGTACAGTTCAGTTCAGTTCAGTTCATTTCATTACGGCTCAGCTACATTTTGCCTAGTCATAATTAGCCTAGTCACATTTTACCTGGTCACATTTTGCCTAGTCACATTTTGCCTATTCACATTTTGCCTAGTTAACAGTTTGCCTAAGTAACATGTTGCCTAAAAAATTTTGCGTAGGGTAATATTTTGCATAACCTAAGTAACATAAAGCGAAATTTTTGCCTAGTCAATAATTTTTTCCCAAAGAAAATTTTCAACAATCTGAGAATTGTTTTTCAAAAATCCGCGAATTTTTTGTCTAAAACTTTGCAAATTTTGGAAAATCATTCAGTTTCCTGTAAGCCAATCAGAAGGCGAGACACATCTAAAATGGCTCCCCTGATAACTGAAGGGCTAACCATAAAGGGTAAGCCCAACTATAGGGGTAAGAATAACTTCTTTGATGTTTTCAATGGGGAGAGGGCAGAGATCCAAGAGCTTTTGGTCAAACAGCATGCTGAGGCTAGGAGGGTTTATCACTCCAATGCAGTCGGCCTGGACATGGCAACAAATTTAGAGCAAAAGCAGAAATCAAAGAACTCCAGACAGTGGGTGAAATTTGTTGTAGAAGCTTTCCACTATGCCCAAGCTGATTATATCCAAACCCTTACTCATGATCAGCAGAAGGCTCAGAATGATGACATATACTCCAGGATGTAAACTGTATTTTAAAAATATATATAAAATGTAATTGTCCTAAAACGTTTAATTCATCTATATATAAATTTGGCTTGTCTGTCTGTTTGTCTGTCTGTCTGTCTGTTTGTATTCAATAAACGTCAAAACGGCTGAACCGATCGGCCCAAATTTTTTGTGGGACATCTAGGGACCCCAGGGAAGGTTTATAAATGATTGAAATTTTAAATATTTGTCTCCATCAAAATTTGATCTTTATTAAATTTTGAAAATCCACGAAATTTTTTGTGAAAATCCGCGAATTATTTTTGTTTTATTTTACGATGTACACAAAGAGAACATGTTCACAATTAATTTAGAAGATGGGCGGGAAGTGCCCTCTAAGGCTAGTTCATTAAAAATTTAACTAGTTCAGCTTAAAAAAAAGTTTGATGTCTGACAAAATTACATTAAAAAAAAAGCAATAGACATGCTCTTGTGTTACCTAGGCAAAATGTGACTAGTCAAACTTGAATCAGGCAAACCCAGCTGGAAAATTATTCTTTCTTTCCATTGTTTTCTTTTTTTCTACTGCAATCAGAACTCTTTTTTTCATCCGCAAATGTCTTATTGTAGAGCTCCGGCATCGGATGATTAAAAGCCGTCTTTTTTTAGTCCGCAATTGTTTCCTGGCGGAGTTTGACTCCATCATCAGATCAAAACTAATTTATCAGTCCATCTAAAGAGCTTATGAAATCAAAAAGGATGATAAAAAAACAAGGGCCTGCTGAAAAGCGCACTCATTTGTCAAATCTTAGTCAGTTTAAACCAATTCTTCAAGGTGTAAGCACGCTGCACAATTTCTTCAGAAATTGTTAAAGCATCCGTTCATGGGAGTTTCAAAACTGCCACTCAAAACTTGTCCTTTTTCTCTACATGTGTCGGTCTACTGATCCATTCAGTTCAACCGCCCTGTTTATGCTATTGATCTCCGCTTCATGTACGCTTTGAACAGATCGAAATGGAAAAGAAGAGCAATTTCACTCCTCTGTCGAAAAGGCAAAACTGAAATAGGGAAAATGTGAATAGGCCAGTCAGTTCAGTTCAGTGCAGTAGTACAGTGTAGCATGAAAATAAACCAATTGAAAACAAAAAAAGATTATGTTTAAATGGTTTATAATGAAAATAAATATATTCAAATAAAGGATTGGTTTTGAAAGAATGGTTTTACATAAAGAAACAATTATCTCAAAACAAAGAAATGGTTTAGCAAGGATAGTTTGTCATGGAATTAAACCAATTTACAAACAAAGAATTTGTTTAGTTAGAATAGTTTAAACCAATTCAAAACTTATCAACGACACAAACTTATCAATATTGGACTGCACTGAGCTCTACTACAATGTGTGACTGCACTGAATTTTGATGGGCTTCTATTGTAACCTGAAAAAAACATTAAAAAATATTTAAGCAATAACTTAAAATTTATAATAATGTGTGAAACTAGACTTATTTTTTTTTTTGGGGGGGGGGGCTTAAAATTGGCTTCTGAACCGCCAACAAAGGACAGTTTTGAATAGATCTTTCTCTGATTGGGCAGAATTTAAGAGTGGTGTACCCCAGGGGTCAATACTGGGTCCTTTGTTGTTTGTTATATTCATAAATGACACTGATGACTGAGCCAAAGATATTTCCATCTTACTGAAATTTGCTGTTGACACCTAAATCAATAATGAAGCTAGTAGTGCAAACTGTGCTCTTAATACTTTATGATACTTTATGATCAATTCTAGAGGAGACAGTGAGAGAGAGGGATATTGGGGTAATTATTTCAAATACACTTAAACCCGCACAACAATGTCTAGGAGAAGATGCCATCTTGAATTTGCTGTCCCTTCCTAGTCACCCAGGTTAATTGGAGATATTGACGTTTTATAACTTGTTCAAAAGAGAGCAGTAAACCTTGTGGTGGGACTAGTGAGACAAACCTATGAAGAAAAACTAACAGAATTTGGTTCAAGTACCCTGAAAGACAGGCGAATCGAGATTGATCTAATTCAAACTTTTAAATCCTCTAAGGATTGACAATGTTGACCATGCTACATGATTCAACACTGCAGTTGGAGATAGTGTTACTGTATTAAAAAGGAATACTGCCAATGAGGGCCATCTTTTATCAAATCAATCAAATACAGATAATGAAAAAACTTCTTTACAAATAGAGTTGTACCAGTTTGGAATGCACTGCCGACGGAACTAAAAAAACTCAAGAAATGTCAAGATATTTAAGACAGGACTCGAGAAAATAACTTTCTAAATCTGTGCCAGGAAACAGGGTAAGGGAGGATGATACCTTCCAGGATGACCCATAACGGACCAGTGTTAAGACTAGAAACATCATGAAATTTGCCTTATTCACTCTAAGAAATCTCAAAATTTGTTGGAGCACCGGACTCAAATACACCTTAGTAGAATCATTCGTCAAATTTTGTTGAATGTATTTTCAGTCGCCTTAATTCAAAGTTTGTTACATGATCTATCAACCGGTGTTTGTCCGCTCGCTGTGCCGCGCCTCCATATAATTATCATCTCACAAAGTTTGTTTCATGTTGATTCAGCCAGCGACACTGCGCGGTTTAAATATTAGCATGCGTCAAAATTTGTTGGATGTCCCTTCAACTTACTGCGCAACTATGTAATCATTTGTTATATGATTATTCAGCTTTGAATCTAGACCCGTCAAAAGAGGTTGTTACAGGTGGCGCCACCTATTCTCTCAATATTTGTTTTAACTAGATTCAAATTGTTTGTTACATAAATATCCGGCTGTTATGTAAATTTCAATTTTTTTATACAATTTATTAGTTTTTAAAACGCATAAATCTGCAAAAATGTAATTGATAAAAACAAAAATTTAAACATCATAAGTTTCAAGTTTATCACATTTTTTTATAAAACAAATACATGAGGCAGAAATATAAGATCTTAATACAAATCTTTAAAGTAATATGCAGCATAAGTTTTGCTGTTTATAATACACTTTATTACAATTCAAAGCTTAAAGAACTGGACATCAATTAATCACCAATTTAGACAACATTTGATTCTTGTAGAAATAGATTCTGCAGTCTGAATTATGGAAGATTTGGTTTTGCATTGATACTCTCTTTCAAGCAAAGCATTGAAAATGCAAGCATTAGTTTGAGAGAGTGTACAAAGGCTTAAAAAAGTTTTAATTTTGTTCTTCCAGTTTCTTGGAGGTTTCCCTTTAAATCTTTTTGATATCTCCAAATTTCCAGATCGAATTGACGTAGGTACAAGCGCTGTCGGCTAACAGACTAAACTGTCACTAATTGGAAAGTCAGCTGATTCTCCCCCTCCAGCCAGCCGTGCGAGCCGTGCCAGCCCGGCAGATGGTTCAACGTTTGATTGATCATAAATCAAAATTTGTTTAATCTTACACAAACTAAAATATCTGCTAATTACAATGAAAGAAAACTGTAACATGACAAAAGAAAGATGTCATATAACAAAGTTTGACACATGCTGAGAGAACAATGTGTAAGCTATTAACAAGTTTTGTTAGATTGTAATTTTGGAAAATATTTAACTAAATTTGAGTAATGAAAGAAGAAATTTGAAATATGAAAGAAGAACTTTGATGCCTGATGCTAAAGACCAAAATTGCATTTTTTAGAGTGTTGACCCCGGGGTTTTCTGCAAATTATTCTACAAGTATTCCAAGTAAGTAAGAGTGTCACCTGTACAGTAAGAATATTAAAAAAGAATTTAATTTTCTTCAAATAATTTCTTTAAGAATTACCTTTTACTCTTAACAATAATCTGAGGTTCAGACTAAACTGTTTTGTCTTCTAAGACAAATAGTCCATCAACATCCTTCTGAAATAATACAAAAAAAATCTATTCCAATTAAATTATAGCCGTGAAAAAAAAATTTGTTCAAAATTGATACCAGGGGGGGGGAGGTTGTACAAAAACCTAGAATACATGTATTATAGACCCACCAAATGTTTAAACAATTATATTATGCATAAACAAATATGCATGCCAATTCATTAAACATGCATTCTGAAATTGCTTAATAATACAATTATGCTTTAAAAAAGGGGAAAATGAAGATTCCTTGAGATATGAGTGAGAAAAATACCATAGGGATCACAAAATCTTTCGATTAAGAAAGGGAAGCACATATTTAAATAGAAAATATGGTTTAACATCTAATGTTTGTGTTCAATTAAAAACTACAGTCTACAGCTAAGTGAATTGCGGATACATTGTTTAAATTAAATGAATCTGTCGTCTTCTAGAGTGTTACAGGAGCAACATAGGAAAAATTTTAACTTTTGCCGCATCAGTCTAGGGCTGGGCACGTTCCTGGTGGAACGATAGTTCTTTCCCGAGAACGAACGGAACGATCAAGAACAATCCCATCATTCCGATAAAAAAAATGATGGCTTAGAACGAGTTTTTAAAAATATTGGAACGATTAGTAAAAGAATTATTATCAAGAATGCGTTCTAAGTTGGGAATGCATTTTAAATCAGGAATATGTTCAAAATCATCTAGAAATATTTAAGGATTTTTTTATTTAATCACCTGACCCCCGGCCCTATATCTTTGCAATCCTATGTTCTAGACCTTAGATATTTCAACCTATGAATTCTGTTGGATCAAATGATCTAAGTTTAAAATATCGAAGGCTTACACCATCACGTTGCAAAGTTATAGTGATGAGAAAATTTAAGTTATTGGCCATGACTCAATTCCTCGTATTAATCAACAATATATGAGCAGAAAATTGCACGTTTTGCACAAGTGTTATTTTATTGCACATTGCACAGGATCTGGTGGGAGCAACTTTCCAGATTCATCTTTCTCTGCACCTAAACTTCAAATACAAGGCAAATATCAGGGATTAGAAATTCAGAGCGCTTTGTGTATTTAAGTCAAATTAAATTTTTCCATATACAGCTGCTCTTTCTACTGAAATGGCAATGGGGATGGAAACATTCTTTGACTAAGAACAGAACAAGATGGATGGAACCATTCTTTAAATAAAAACGCCAAGAATGGAACGGAACAGGAAGACCGTTCTTCTACTCAGAACGGAACAAGAACGGAACTATAAAAAAGAAAGGAATGAGAATGGAACGATTTAGCTGAAGGCCCTCATTCTAGAACGGAACAGAAAGATTTAAAAAAATTCGGAATGTGCCCAGCCCTACATCAGTCTTGTATTACGCTGTGTAGTGTATTAAATTCAAATATTTCACATGATAGTGATTTTGCTATCTAGCATCTTTCTTCAAAATACATCATTCTAATACGTTGTTACATCAGTTTAGACCTACGTAGTCAAATTTTTTATACATTTTTCCTGAAGGCGAACAGACCTATCAATTGACTTAACTTTTGAGTTATGGCACAAGTCTGTTTCCTTCAGGCAAAATTCGTCAAAAATACATTTAAAACAGTATAGATCCCAGCAGTACTTGACTATCTTTCATCTGTCCATAATGCATAATATTAATAGTCTTTCTGATCAAAGTCCCTAGCTCTGTCCTTGTTTGACAGTAAGGGGCTTATCTTTGTTTTCCTCTTATAGTATGCAAATTATCAAATCCCAACATTATGCACTATTTTCACTTAATACTAAAATTTGCACTGTTGAAGCTATAAAGAATTAAAACTTACTTGTGCTATGTATGATCGCATAATGAAGCGGGAGGTCTAAAGTTCTTTTATGTGCCACCATTAGATCTACACCTTTTACTAGCAAATTCTCTATGACTGATTGGTCATTATTTCGAACAGCCCAGTGAAGAAGTGTTTCTCCTGTGGCCAAATGTACATTGATATTTTCATCAGGGAAAAGGTTTAAGACTTTCAGTGTGTGATTAAATTCTGATAAAGTGTTGATGGTTAACCAAGGTAGAAAATCCCGACTCTTTTGGTTTTTGTCAGAATCAAGTTCTAACAAAGAAAAAATACATTTTAAACTTTCACCTTTATTTAAGGTGTACACAAATTAAGGCCCTTTCTTCAAATAAAAATAGAATTCTATCAAGTGCAGTCTTCAGCAAATCTAAAACTTCAACTGCTATTAGAGTCATTTAAAACTAATTATAAAAAAAGTAAGCTAAATCAAATAGATTGTCAAGTTATACGATAGATATTTGTAAATTCTCTGTACAAGTGTATTATGACGTCACAAGTGTCAACTTAGTTTTTGCTTCCGACAAAATTATTAATAATAGAGATCATTTTAGACCAAGTGCTTATCTTACAGTAAAATAAGTGTAATTTTATGTATTCTTCATTTTCTGTTTTACACTTTTTTATTAAATTTTGGAAAACATGTCAATTAGAGTAAGAAAATTTGTTTTTCTTGTTGAATTTGACACTTGTGTTGTTGTGTATAATTGGTCCACTTCTCTGTTGCCACCTATATTGTACTTGATAATCTATTAGAGTGAATGGTAGAGTTACACAAGTGTTAAAAAACCTCTTATTCTTACCCCATATAAAAATGTCTTATATGTTTTTTTCTTTTCACCTCTTTTTAACATTTTTTCTAAAATTCCAAGATCAATATCCAAGATGGTTTTAGCTTTTCGAAACAGAATCTGAATAGGAGATAGATTAAGTATTGGATGAATCTTGGAAACATCCACCTCATGATTTAACAGCTCATCAACACACTCCATTGATCTGGTTTCCAAGGCCATATGAAAAGGAGTGACTGTGTCTGTGTTTAAAACATTGACTGGATGTAAGAATGGAGGACATATTATTTTCTTCAGCCCCTTTTCATGATTTATTCCTGCAAGAAGATGTAAAATAGTTCCAAATTTTCCATCATCAAACACCAATATTGATTCAGGTTTGAGATATTTTAACAAAACGTTTATAGTTTTCATTATTCGAAATTCATGTTCAAAGTTTTCTACAGTACTGGAATTCAATTTATGCAGAATTAGTGAGCTGGCTGCAAGATGGAAAGCAGAAGTGGGATGATGGGTCTCAGTAAGTAGTAGGACATTTGCTCCATGTCGTACAAGAACTTTAACACACTCCACCTGGTTTAAGTGTGCTGCTGTATGGAGTGGATAATAACCTGTTGAGTCATCTTTGCTTGCCGTTAAGTTATAAGGAGTCATGAGTAACTCATGTACTACATTTGAATGACCCTTTGAAATAGCGAAGTGGATTGGTGAAGTGCCATTGTTTGATTTTATTGCTGGATCTATCCCACAATCTGTCACTAACCATTCCACAATATCCAATAATATTTCTTCGCGATCCATCAGGCATGCACAGTGCAATGCTGTCCAACCTGCAACAATGTTAACATCACAGAGCTTAAAATGGAAGTGAATACTTTTAGTTTTTTTCAGCATCAATGTTGTTCCAAGGAATCTGAGGAAGATTTAACTATCAAGCCATTTCATAGTACATTGGAATACATGGATCAATGATCTCGACTTAATAAAATGGATCTATACATTAATTCATATTGTTTGGTTTTAATATCATGTACCTTCTGTACTCCTAATTAAATCTATTGGAAACAATGGTTTTGACCTAAATAGAGAAAGTGGAAAATGAAAATTGTGTTACTTTTTGCAATAAAATATAAGCACCTGGTTTTAGGATCATTGAATGTGCTAATCACATATTCAAAAAGTCTCTTGTTTGAGAACTCGGGAGGACCGGGAGTAACTAATATTGCGCCTTGGTCATTTTGATTTTGCACTTCTGATTCAGCTCTTGCAATGAGCACTTCCATCCCTTCCATATCTTAAAATGCATAATCAATAACTTTGGTGGCCTTATTATTTGGTTTCTAAATTTTCTTCTTGTTTTGTTACAAAGTCGCAGGTTAAAACATTGTTAACGACCAGATATCAATTAAGAGTAAAAGTATATCTACAATCTATGAGTAGAGTATTCACCGGAAACTCTGTTTTGTTTCCGCAAGAAATTTGCCAGAATTTTTTTTCCCGCTTTAAATTTCATTGACGGAAAATTACCAGAATTTTTTTCCAGTAATTAAAATTACGCAAAAAAAATTCTGGCAGAAAATTATGGGTAAACGGAAATAGCAAAATAAGAAAGAAAGGCAAGCTCAATTTTTTTCTTATAACTTGTATTAGTTGTGTCCTAGTTAGCATATTTTGCAACTGAAAGTAAATAAAATAGCTTTTAATACTGTTATTAAGTGTCTGTATGATATGAACAATTTCCGGGTTCTATAAATCCAATATTTAACATAAAATCTCTAGCTGATCAATTTACTATTACTTTTGACATATAATGCCTATATACTTTTGTTCCATGGTAATAAAAGAACTGTATTTTCCACAAAAAAAATAAGATGGGGTCAAAACTTTGTTTCTGATGCAAATCTTGCATTGGGAATCAGCACTAGAAGTTGTGAGCACTATATAGAAAAAAGGAAACTAAAAATATAGTATACATTTCTAAAATTAGAAGCATGGTAGATTTATGTTTATATCCCCATGCCTTGACAGTTCCAATGTCATGGGTCGGAAAATTAAACAAAGATCGGAGTGAGGGGAGGAAGGCAAGTTGCACTAATTTGTCTTTCTTTCCGCAAATGATGTCATAAAATGTACTTGTGGGTGCCGTAGCCTGGAGCACTTAATGTCCGCACCAATTTAAAATAAATAAGCAAAAAAATCCTTTTATTAAATATTATCCTTCTTGATCATAAATCAAATTTCTAACCTAATATGTGAATATTTGCATCTACTACTGTGTCCAAGTTAGGGCGCCTGACCAACAAACCCATTGATCAACAAACATATCTACCAACAGACCTACTAACCAATTGACCGACTAGCCAACCTAACATATTATTGTTGACGCCCACCTTATATTTCAACAATCCTGCAGTATAAAAGCACAGACAATAAATTCTTAGATATTTGAGAAATAAACAATTACTATTTATAGTTCCAAAAAACAGGGGGAAAGGGGAACTTTGCGCTGCGCACCTTTTTTTGAGGTGTGATAGCCTAAAGCATGGTTAATAAATGCTTTAAGGCTACAAAAAGAAGGTGTCATGTGATGCAATGTTTTAGCTGGTATGTCGCCCAAGGGGTGCCTCAGGCTATACAAAAAGCTTCTAGAAGAATCGATTACAAGAATACATTCATAAATAAAGATAGATTGCGCATAAGACGACATTTTTCATCTTGAAAGATATAACTGTACAGAGATGTTTTAAAGTTATTCCCATTATATAGATTAACTAGGTCGGTTGTAAACATTGGATGTTCTTATGTCATTGAGTACTTGTGGTGTAAATTAGTTCTGTAGAGAGAAATTTAAGTTAGCTTAGTCCTTCTCATGTCCTTCTTCAGTTCTTGTCAATATGATATATTGCTCAGTGAAATATTGTTGTTCAAATAGTTCCATTCCCGGAGTTATTTTACACTCTATTATGAAATCCATTAAAACATCAAACCACCCCTAGAAGTACGAGTTCGCGGACTGTACAATTCTTGGTTATTTTGCGTACATAAGCTATCTATGTTTATTTATTTATCTATGAATACATCTTATGACAACTATTAAAAAGGGGATCTGAATATTTAACATATTATTATTCTTTTTTAGTTCTTATCCTACTGCAGTGATAGTCTAAATAACCTGGAATATTGTTAATTGATTGATACCTTAAAGCCGTCTTTGACCTAAGAAATAGTTTGCGGCATTCAACATTGGTAACCTGATTTTAACAATATTTTTTAGGAAACAATAATCACAGCGGGGGCAATATTTATTTCCAATACTGACAAAATATTGATAAAGATATTTTCGCACTCAATAAAGAGTTAACACCATGATATTTTGATTGTTGGCTCCCTATTATATTGCTTTTTACCCTAACCTTGTTTTTCTGGGGTTGGATTTCAAAACATTAGAGGGGGAAGGTTCGCAATGAATGCAAAAGAATGAGGTCAAACATTTTTTTAAAATGTAAGTTAAGTTAAGAAATTATTTAAAATTAGTTTATTTCAAGACTTCTATTCTGAAGAAAATATAAAAGAAAATAACTATAAACAAAAAGAACTAATCTAAAGTTTATAATATGCCTGAAAGTTTCATCTTTTATCTTAAAATTAAATGGTTTTTCTTATCTAGCTCGAAGAGATTTTACATTTAGTCTCTAGAAGTTTTGATAGGACCTGGGGCGCACTTTATGCTTATCTGAGATACTTGTAAAAAATTGGACTTCGACATTTTTATCATTAAGGGCAACAATCATGTAGAACTAGTTAAAGTTGTGTTGCGCAACAGTGCATTATGGTTATTATTTTTTTTTTTCACTGCATTAAAATTATTTGGAAAATAAATAATTTTTTGCATGAGGCGGCAAACAAGATATGATTATAGACAGAATTACAAATCACACTCCAGTAGACAGAACATTAAGGTTGTTACTACTTTGCAGATCTTGTGATTTTTCAAACAAATATAAAAACCAAAATTATGTTATTACACTTAATAATAGCTCTTTAAAAATAGGAGTAATGAATGAAAAAATGTAAGATTTAAATTTCAAGGGAAATAACTTTTATTTAACGTGTAATACACTATATACACTATATACAGAGTGCACCAATAAACATGGAAATTAAGAACATAATTCTTGTACTGAAGGTAAACAATTTTTACATCAAAAACTTAAAGCCTCCAAAAATTCCAAAATGTGGTTATGATCATTACGTCCTTAACCCAATTGTAAAAAAAATCTTTATTAAATTTAAATGTCGAAATACATTATTATTTTTATTTAAAAAGTAATTTTTACTTTTATATTTTATTTTGTAGCTGAAATCCTCTGAGACTGAAAGAAGATGGTTTAAAATAAAATAAAATGCTAAGATCCCATGGGTGATTTTTTTATTAGCAATTTTACTATTTACTTCTAACCGATTATTATTATTGAGAAGATGTTTTAATTTTTGCTTGGATCTTGAAATGAAATTAAATAAGAAGTTCTTGGGTAACTTTTTCACCAAGAGGATAATCAACATTTACATTTTCTTTGTAAAAATATTTTTTTTTATTGCGTACTAGTATGCAATAATATACCCATTCTTACAGGTTGATTACTGACCATATATATATGTATTATCAAATAATATGGAGTTATTTTTCCAGCAAAAATATTGTTAAAATAAGGATGGGGGAGGGAAATCAGCCCACAATTTACAATTTGCATGTAGGGTTTCATTTTAAGGATAAATAAGCTTGATCCAAGAAAGTGTTTCTGTTTCCATCTTTTTAAGACAATAGGTATTATAATGAAATGTATCAACCAAGTTTAATAAATACGTACAATTGGTACTAAAGAGTCAACTGTACTGAGCCTGCGATTTAAAAGATTTCGGGAAAATAAAGCTCGGGTCTAAGCTTATTTACGACTTGAGCTTTCGGATGCAAGCTGCATCTTATTTTCCACAGAGTTGAGTTCAAAAAATTGGTTTAAAATTCTATTTGGCGGATTTTCATGGTAGGAATTGACACATTCTTGCAGCTGTCAATCCCATGACACAAGCTGTCGTCAGAGTTGGGCCAAAGATTGGGTCTTAAAATCAGGTTTAAGGAATTACGGCTCGAGCCAATGTTTTTAAATCGCGGGCTCTGAAGAATCAACCGAATGAGTATTTAAAGAAAGGGTTTAAGAATCTACAGCAGTTCTAACCAACATCTCATAGAGCTCACACTTTTTAAATCATCTATATTTTAGTTCTAATCATTTCAATCAATAACATATCCATAGTACCTTCAGTGAGTATGTTGTATAGCGATACTGGAACTTCCCTTGACTTGGTCTGTATGCCAAGTAGGAAAGCTCACAGTGATCCAAAGGTTGCAAGCTTTCACACACAAATTGATGAGTATTTTGCTCATCTCTTCTTAACAACTAAAAATAAAATAAAATGCGTTAGACTTTGAAATGTGTATGTTTTTTTTTACGGAAAAGTACAAGTGAGTTAGTGAGTTAAAAGCAAATGCCATCACGTTGCGACACCTCAAAGTCAACCGAGTCTTCAAAAATAATGCGATTTTTTATAGCAATCTGGATCTATGTGAACCCAGTACCAGAATTCTTCGCTTGAGTGACTGTGAATGGTGCTTTGCTGTGATGCCATGTTTAGTTTCAAATTAACAAATAAAACAAGTATTGAAAATTATCAATTTTCCGATTATTAAAAAACCAAGAATATCTCAATCTTTTTTGCTCACACAGTGGTTTCAGGGGTAACGTTTTGAGCGGACATTTAGTCGGAACTGACGTAAACATATATATCCTATAACATTTTGAGCTGACTATAATGTTTTCAATGGTATCTCCTTATATGTAAGAAATATTGAGAAGAACAAAAATGTTTGCAACTGGATAGATTTTTCTCTCTTATACTTGTGCAAAAATTAAAAACTAGAGAAATGAAGAGCTCACACAGTGTACCTGAAATTTCGCATGGATTTGACCTACTCCAATTCTGTGTATAGTTTGCAGTGTGCTTTTGCAACTGCATTGTTTCGACTTTATCAACTTTTAAAACATTTCCGGGGAATGTGGAATGTTGGCTTATAAGAGAAATAAAAGGAAAAAGTCCGATTTCAAATTTTTTTTTAAACCATCCTTGAGTGACTCCTGTATTCTTGGTTGCTGTATTTTCACGAATCTAATGTAACAGTGGGCGAGTTTTGTTGATCTTTTACGATCAGCAATTCAAGGACGTTTTGGATCGCTGAGATCATAGCTACCAAGGGGAATCATGTGTGCATTGCGTTATTGATTTTTATTCATATACTATACTAAATATTGATATTCAATATATGCAAAGCCAAGCTTAACATATACACCATGCATATTGAATATATATTAAAGCATATATCTACACAGAATATTTACATTATTTGATACAAAAATAATCCTTAAAAAAGTTTATTTATATTAACATAACATGCCTTATGTCTGTTTAATTTTCCTTATATTTCATTTATACCTTTACTTTCTTTTATTTTTTTTTTTTTTTTTCCAAGAAAATTTAATCTACTAGCCTTAGAGGGCACTTCGCGCCCATCTTCTAAATTAATTGTGAACATGTTCTCTTTGTGTACATCGTAAAACAAAACAAAAATAATTCGCGGATTTTCACAAAAAATTTCATGGATTTTCAAAATTTTAAAAAATTTAATGAAGATCGAATTTTGATGGAGACAAATATTTAAAATTTCAATCATTCATAAACCCTCCCTGGGGTCCCTAGATGTCCCACAAAAAATTTTGGCCCGATCGGTTCAGCCGTTTTGACGTTTATTGGATACAAACAGACAGTCAGACAGACAGACTAACAGACAGACAAGCCAAATTTATATATAGATGAAAAAAACTGTCTATTGCCTCAAATTTGGGTGAACCACGGAAATGTTCTTAGCCTGGTTTTGAGTTTCTAAAATGAGTGGGTCGACTTTTATAGAAAGTATTTAGTTTCCCTGAAAATCGACCAAGTGCGGGTAAACGGCGGGATTAACTTTGAGTATAAACCGGCCAGCGCTGGGTTCCCAAACTAGTTCACTATATACTCTGTAACCCTCTTTCATTTTTGGCGAAACACTCCCTTTTTGAAATGAATTAGATCTCTGTTGAAGAATGAAGGAAAACACCATAATCTTCTCAAAATCTACATATAAATTTGGCTTGTCTGTTTGTCTGTTTGTTTGTTTGTTTGTATCCAATAAACGTCAAAACGGCTGAACCGATCGGGCCCAAATTTTTTGTGGGACATCTAGGGACCCCAGGGAAGGTTTATGAAAAATCAAAATTTCAAATATTTGTCTCTATCAAAATTCGATCGTCATTAAATTTTTAAAAATTTTGAAAATCCGCGAAATTTTTTGTGAAAATCCGCAAATTATTTTTGTTTTGTTTTACAATGTACACAAAGAGAACATGTTCACAATTAATCTAGGAGATGGGCGCGAAGCACCCTCTAAGGCTAGAAAGAAGGGCGCGAAGCGCCTTGAATTTCTAGTATTGTATATTTTGCTTTAAATAGAAGGAGAAAATGTTTATAGGGTGCAATATTGGTAATCTATACACACTACCTATCCAACTATTTGAGGCTGAGAGGGGAAGGGACCTGAACCTGAACAGGGGTATATATTCATCAAAAATATCCACGCTGGGGGACTATTTTTATGATCTGGGGAAAATATGTAAACATTTGACATCAAAGGCAGGTTTTTTTTCAATGTTTATGATACATTTTTCTCAAAACTTCATTTATTAGTGTAATAAATACAGCAATCCCCATATTTGTCTGTAAGTTGTACAAGCTAAGATTGTGCCTAGAGATTTTGCATTGATCGATTAAGATCTTGTTTGTCCCTGTGTAACATTCAGATCCAATAATATCGTGTCTGTTGGTTTGGCATTGATCGCTTAAAGTTTGTGTCCCAGTTGATATTTATAGCTGACAAGTTGTACCTGGATTGATACAGTTCTGGGCAAAGTTTTAAGAGTACGGCATTCACTACATTAGTCCCAAAACATTACATTACGCAAAGAAAGGAGGGGAGGTATTCACAATTTAAAAAAAAACAAGCAACCACCTAAATGGGGGTGGTGGGGGGGGGGGGGTAACTATTACAATCTCGGCACCTTTTTAAATAAAGGGGAGGGGACATCTATTATTTCAACAGCCAAACAAATCATAACTTTTGTTTATTATTTGTTTTGTATAAAATAAAAAACATTAAAAGCCTCAAAAAGAGATAAACTTTTTCAGTTCATATCACACATCATAGTTACTTAGGGCATGCGCGTGTACCACTACCAGTTCACTTAAGATCGTGCCTGTGCAATATTGGATATAGTTCTACTTCAAGTCAAGATTGCTCAACCATAATTCACGTTCCTCTACCAGTTCAGTGAATGTAAATTCAAATAGAAGCAGAGCCTGCAACTCGCTGTATGACCAAGGGGGACAGTCCAAACCAGGACCACAAAGGTCGGCCCGGCAACGTGGATATTAAAATGCACACCAGTTGTGCGTGAGATAGTATTTTCAGTACAAAAACAAAAACAAAAAAGTTTTCTCTTATATTTTCTTGGAATTTTCTGTTGTATAAATGCCCATCGCTACCTATATCGTTTTTACTGTATTTCTGCTGGTTTTGGCCCTTGCTTCAAGTCTGATAAATTCAAGAATCAAGATGGTAGAAAACCTTGAACAGTCTTGAATATATCAAACTATATAGGACAGGAGAATAAAACTTAGTATTTTACTTCATTTAACCTTAATTTTCTTTTCAACAACAACCTTCATTGCATATAATTAAAAATTCATATTTAGAAATCTATTTTTTTTTAAACGAAGTTGGTTGTCTTGGCATTTTTTATTTTTTAGTTACTAGGTAGACAAACAATCACTTTTGGTGCAAGGATATCTATTTTTTAGGCCATTTAAATAAAAATGTCATACAGAGGGCATATGCTAAAAATATTAAAAGAAATATCAAACAAACCTTAAAGAAACTGTATAACCTACACCTAGATTTTTTTTTAATTAAATGGGAGTGAGATACATTTTCAACCTTTAAATCAATGAAAAACTACGTCGGCATTATTTCAAGACAACCTCAATTTCAAGAGTTATATGAGCAAAAAAATGTATTTTTATCCAATATTTTAATATTTTAATATCAGTAGTTCTCACTTTTGCATTAAACTATTCCAGTCAACAAGGAACTGATCTCTTTGTAATGAATCTCTTTTAAATTATTCCGACAGTCCCTTTAATCTGAGCTTGAGCTTAGTTCCAGTCTTCAAGATTTATTAAACTCCGTTCTCTGCTTGGCCATGGATCATCTGCCAAAAAAAGGGCAGACTTCCATCTATCTGGGTTCCAAGTAGGTATACTATACTTGCCAATTACAAGACATAATACACACCAGACAGTTATAATTTGCATAATAATAATAATATATTTAATATAAATACAGATTATAAAACTTAGTATAATTCTTTAGTTTGATAGTTATTGAACTGCTATATTTCTGAACTTGTTAGGTCTAAAGCAAATCAGTTTTTACTCAAACTCAAAATTTGTTATCCCTATATCTTTGCAACCCTATTTAATTCTGAAATATCAAAACGAAAAACATTCCACTGTTTCTTGATTGAGTGAATGAAAATTATATTTAGAAATATTGTTAAAGGTCAAGGTCAACTAAATAATAAGGTTCGTCTGAACATTACACTTTTTAGTTTAATTTCTTCTCCTTTTATTAATTTCTCAGCATAATTTAACACATGTAATGTCTTAAAGGATTGCCTCATTGCCAACAAGCTGCCTTATTTCTATTGGTTTGACCCTCCAGAGTCTTTGCCAAAAACTCAGATTTTCTAATCACTATATCTTTGGAACCAAATGTTGTAGACCTTAGATATTTCAAACTATGAATTCTGTTAGATCAAATAATCTGAGTTTGAACATCGGGTTCTAAAGATAAAGAGGTTTAAATATTTGATTTTGTTTCAAAGAACTCAATTCCAACAGGGAATTTAGACAAACCCTTAGTCTTTGTCATTGTCAGGTGTTACTTTTTAAACAAAGTTTACTTTTAAAATTGTGTTTCCCAGGGGGGGGGCAGGGCCCCCATGTAACTCCCCACCCTTGCGAATGAGCCTGGGCCATTTACATTTAAAGTCAGTGAATCCTTCACTCCTTACAAGTTCAGTTCTCCAGGGGTTGCCGGACTTGTCAAACTACATAATAATCATTAGAGGTCCATGGTTTACCACTCACCCCCTCAAATTGTTACGTATGCGAGGCATATGCCACCAATCGTAAACAGAGGTAAAAAATATAAGCTTTTAAGCACTGAAATCATTTCATATCAATGGTGTGCAGATCCTGCAACAGTGCCACAGTGGCTTGTAAAATTTAATGTAAAATTAGTCGTTATAAAACGTTTTGGTAAAATCATTACAGAGGCGCAACGCTAACCTTGTTCCATGGCCAGGGTAAATGAGATAAGAAATTTTCATAATGCAACCTATATATCCAATCAAACGAAATATGATGAAATCATATGAATTACAAAATTTCTAGTTACATTTATTTCTGTGTAGTGGTCAGAAATTTATATGATCTTTTTATTAGTTTTGAAGAGCATAAAAAAGAGACAAAGACTTGCAACCGTTTTAAAATTTTATAGGTCTTGTACATATATAGATATATGTTATAGTTCAAATCCAACCAAAACATTTTAAAAAAGTTATTTTAAATAAAACTTTTAGACAATCATTATTTTACCAGTTAGAGTAGGACATGAAAATTTAGTTGTTAGAATTTTTGGATTCGTTCGTTTCCATATGCAATTCTTTACCAACGTTGATAAAGCAAATTATTTAGTCTTTCATCAACAGAAAAAAAAAGAATGTCTCCATGGTGATTAAGGTTGAAAAATTGGGTCCATAGTGATTAAGGTTGAAAAATTGTGATTCTTCATAGAATTCT